CTTAAAATCATTGACCAAATTGACCATTTTATCAATAGCATCAAATTACTTTGTTATCCGAGTTGATTGGGTGCCGGGTGACAGCGCAATCGCTGAAAACTGAGCTAGCTCGGTACTCCGCTATTCTCTTGTCCTCTAGAGCTGGATCTGTAGACCTCCCGTGAGCTTAGTCTATTTCTAAAGGGTCTGGTGATCCTAATATCTATGAGTTTTGGGGTTCACAAAGGATGAGCATTAACAAGTGTACAACCCTAATCTAACCCTAAGATCGCAAAACCAGAACACTCCATGAAGTAATGATGCACTGACTATTTAGATCAGCCCGCCATTCAATTATTATAGTTGTGGTTAGTTACCTAATGAGGATGCAGCGTTTAAATTTCAATCAGACAGTGACTCGTTCACGGAATAACCTTTTATACAAACTTTTAAGCCGCTTACGAGATAATGAGGTTATACAAATTTCAGAAAGAGAAAGCAAACCGACTTAGCCCCATATCGAGCTATCATACGCCAAAGATTTGATTACTTTTCGGTCCACTGACTATCTAAATAATTCTTTACCTTCGAATTTATTTTTTACCAGTTTTTTCAGTTCGCTGTTCGGTAATGCGACTTCACACCGAAGATTGTAATGGTTTTTTTTTTTCAACTGTGGAGTGCGTAAAGTGATCATTTAACTTAAACAATATACCAGAGAAAATATTAAATGCCTTATTATTTTAGTTTTTCCATTTTCAAGGACTCATTTCTCTTCTTTAATCGTTATTCGTCGTCAAGCAAGTGTATAAAGATAGAGGGATTGAAACCTTTTCCAACACATCAAAAAGAGTCCAAAAACAGTATGTAATGACCAATTACTTCATTACAATTTTGAAAAAAAATTGCCAGTTCGAATCACTTCGTTGAGGTCGCCCTTTAAGTGCTTCTTAGCAACATGGTTTTGCACGGGCTGATAGGCCGGGCTGGGCTAAGTGGAGAAGGGCTCAGACTAATTGGTAACTTAAGATTTGAAGCTCAAGTTGAAGAATGCCATTGGAGCGTTTAAGATGGCATTGTGCATAAAGCAGCGCCAAAAAAGCTTGCCACTAGCGAGTAAAAAATAAAATTTCGGATTGGTGCAAGGAATACCGAAAGTGGTTGAAATATAAAACTTTAAAAACTTTTTGTACGTAAATAATCGTTTCATTTGCTTTGTTGTTGTAAAAGTACTTGATGGTCGTTTTGAGAAAGTGTGAGTGCCATGGTATGTCTGTATTCTTGTTCGCATTGTTTTGAGCCATACAATGGGTACAAATATTCAGCTGTGAGCCGGTGAACTGTTGCCTGGCATGCTGCCACCAGTACCACTTTTTGATATTTTTTATTTCTTTAAAAAAACAATTGTTTTTTCGTATATTTTATTGTCTACACTTTATGGTTATTATTACACGTGCAGATGCGACTAAAGACGGTAACTGTTTTTTTCGGCCGTGAGCAGTTTGTAGCACCAGCAGAAAGTGAGCAGACTTTGATTTAATGACCTCTGGGCTGCTGTCACTGGCGGCACTTTTTCTTGGTTCGTTAAGTTTGTTTTACAAAAAGATTTAGCCTGCTGGTTAGCTTATTTACTTGGTTGGTTTGAGAAATGTGGTTAGCATACCATTTTGACATAATATCCCCAAGTTAAGTGTGAAACGTATGATTATGTTGCATTGTGTGCAAATTTAATAGCATCACAGCAGTTGGTATTTTGGTATTTCCGTAAGAATTAAAATTTTAAATAGTGTACAAAGAAGAAGTGTTTTATTAATAATGGAAAATAATAGTGAAAATGAGCTTGCGAAAAATTTCTATTTATAAAACGTTAATCTCTTAGGTTCATATAATATTATTAAAATGTATATATTCTAGTCTCGGCAATTTCGTTTCAAAGACCATTTTGAGGTCAGAATGCAGAAAATCTCAATAGAAGCCTGATGCTAATTGGTGTAATTGTGCCCCCTTTTTCTTTGATTGTAAGCGCACGTGACATTCTTTTTGCATAGAGATTTCACATGCTTAAATTTTCATGAATGATACGTTTAAAATCTTCCTCCGATATCTGTAGAGTTCCAGCTATCCCAATCAAGCATCATTTTATGGTCACCCGAAATCAATTTGTCGAATATTTGGTGTCTTCTTCCATAGCAAACTCTTTTTTATGTTCTTTGGGTGTATCGTCTTAGGGGTACATAGGCGGAATTTCAAACTTCTAGGTCTGTTTTGGTTTCATCTAATATTCAACAAGAGCTTGGTGTATATTTGTTCCGTTGTTTATTATTTCGATACCAAATTAACCCGATAAGTTAAATGATTGATAAGCTATACAATTTTCTAAAAAACAAAATACTATTTGACCAAAACTACAGGATGCTGATAATCGTTTGCTAAATTTAATAATAAGTCCATACTAATCGGTGGAGAATTGGACGTCGAGATAATACGATTTAATACTTTTAAGTTAGTTGTTGAGGTTTCGCTATTATTGACAAGTTATGAAACTAGATCAATGCTTCTGTTGCTTATGGATGCGTCTATAACAAGATTTATTAAAATTTAAAGTACTGAAAAAATAATTCTGCTTAATTGCATGAAAAAAGAAACCAAATCAAAGAGAAAGTATTTTTGTTCTGCATAATATGCTGTTAAGTAAAGTTGAAATGAGAATTATTAATTTAAGATTTAATACATACCACATTATTACTCTTGGCCTTAGCGCCCTTGCAATATTTTCTTTATTAGCTATCAAATTATGCATTTCGTAACATTAAAACTTTCTCGACTCTTGTAAATGAACTGTTATGGAAGCTATGTATCCCTAGTTAAAAAACTTTTTCTTTCTTTTGGAAGTACATAGCCAAAATTTGCTACAGCTATGTACGTGGTTACTGCGTGCTGCCAGCGATGTTGTCATCTTCGTGTACAAACCGGGAATACAACTTGGAGCAGCAGCATCACCACTACTTGACTCTCAGCTGTTCATTGTTTTCGAGTGGCCTAACAACTTTTACACAGCGTACGCCACAATTGACGTGGCTACGGCAAGGAGCGCGGTGTGCGACAATTACCAAGCAGTAGACATGACTAGCAAGAGGCACTGAACTGTTATTGTTGTAGCAAATGCGTTGAAGAAGCCGCATAGGAAACAGTAAAATCATCAAAATTTGTTGTTTTGGTCACACACAAACTGCATGTGTTCGCACACTGGTGTTGCCGACTCATCCATGCCGGCTGCTGTTGCAACTATTATTAGTTGCAGTTACTGCAACAAATAGCATTACCGTTGCTGCAGGTGATTTCTTGATGTCTCGACTCGGCACTTTTTCCATGTCGTCAAGCATTAACGATTGCGTCTCGCCAGCGTTGCGGTGGATTGCAACGTTTCGACGTATCATCGCTTATTTCCTGTATTCTTATGTAATATTTATTTGCCATTTCGAGTTGTTAAGAGCTAAAGTTGATAATTGGTTGAAAAAGTAGTACAATCACATTACGCTCCACTACATGTTCACCATAACAATTGTCATCTCATTTTTTTGACAGCATCGCCTTATTCATAGTCTTCCTTTAGGTTGCTTCTGTTTGTCGACATCTGGTAACCCAATTGAGAATGTGGTAGCAATTACTGAGCTGCTGGGCAGTATGGTTATTATTTATTGAAAAAATCTCAAATTGGTTTTTTGAGAATACAAATATATCATACACGTATGTATATATTTATATAATAAGAAATAATTTTAAAAATTTTAAACTATTTATTTTCCATAGCGGTCTGCTTTGAGTAAAAATGTATATATGATGAAACCTAATGTCTTGTACTTCTCACTGAAAGTGGTTTGGTATTGCAAAACGATGTCTCGACGAGACAGTGGCACTGGTTGTATACACCGATTTAAATAATGATGGTGCCTTACATATTGCTGTTATGGCACCACAAGCATTTTATTTATTTTTAAGAACAGAATAATTAATGGCCGGATAATCCTTTTTGATTGTTAATTTTAATATGAAACGAATTGAAATTTCCCAGAGGACACGTACCCTTGTGTGCAATTAATTACTTTTAATTTTCCTGTTAAGTCCTAGACAGCGCAGACACTTTCCCAAAACGCAAAACTCGTTCGATTTCACAAATATTTCCTCTTTCATCTTATAACTATGTATTTGTCAATTGATTACTGTGGATTTTATAGATCGGTAAACCTTCGTGGTGAGTTTAAAATATTTCAGGTTTGCCAATATACGATTTTCCACTCATACTGTTACTACCGCATAGGATATGTAAACAACTCAAAAAAAATCAACAAAATACAAAAATATTGGAGCAAGGTGCAGGTGATAGCGAAAAAGTACATTTTCACCTAAGAAAGAAAAATGAGTGGCTATTTGCAGATACATATAAGGGAAAAATAAATAAAGTAATGTAAAGTAAATCATTAATATCACAATTATACTGTAAAATGCATATGAGATCATAAACACATAAAAGACCAAATGAAATAAATCGAAAAAACTTCAAATTTCAAATGAGCAAGATTGTTGACAGTACTGCCCACAGGCTAAACATTTTTGGTAGGCCTCAATTGGAAGCAACAAATGCACGCTTAGCTAGAGCAACGTGATGATTCTCCAAACTATATTTACTAACATGATGATCGAGTTGTTGCTGAATTGGTGTAAAAGTAACAACCGAAGAGACCGAAAAACGCTTGCAGGTCGAGCATCGTTTTTGATGTTGACGAATGTTTGTTTGTTTGTCTGTGGGGTCATACGCTTGGCTGTTGCTTTGGTTGAACGCTGATTTCGTCTCTTGATTGTTTTTTCTGACTGTCTTGGTTGCTTCGCTCGTTGCTTGCCTCCGACGCATACGCTCAGCAAGCAATGGTCGCATTGCGACTACAACAACTGCAACAAAGTCCACTCTAGTGTCATAAGCATTGGCGCGCTTCGTTGAGTAAGTATAAAGAGGCCTCACTGGGCAAAGTTAAAGCATTCAGTCGTTGGTTCCCTACAAGCAAACAACTAAATTTATTTTTTAATTTAAGTTTTACTTCTCTCCCCCACACAAAACTCACAACTATGAACTCCTTCTCCGTGGTAAGTATCGAAGTGATGAACAAAACACAATATATCGAACTATGATCATTTGATGAAAAGGATAATTCACCAATATTTATGGATAAAGTAGTTGCCTCAAGTTTTCAAATGGATTAATCGCTCTTTTTCCCTTTTCCAATTTGTTTCTTGCAGTTCTTGGTGTTTGCTTTAGCAGCACTGGTCGTTGCGGAACCACCATCAGGATATAATTATCCTAGAGGCGGCGGTGGCGGTGGCGGTGGTTCGTTCGGTGGCTTTGGTGGCGGCTCATTAGGAGGCGGCGGCGGCGGCGGCGGTGGCTACCAAGCCGTAAGTGGCGGTTTCCAGACCTCTGAAGGCCAAAATGTCGATCCTCAGCTGTTGGAACAAGTACGTCAAATTCTGCTCAATGAGGAGAGCAAATCCGGCGGCGGTGGCGGCGGCGGCGGTGGTGGTGGTGGTGGTGGTGGTTACCCATCTGGCTCGTATGGCCCACCATCCGGTTCATATGGTCCACCTTCATCGTCTTATGGTGCGCCCGGTTTCGGTGGCGGCGGCCGTGTTGTCGGCATTGATTTGGAAGGTGTGCGTCAGGCTATCCAAGTGGCGCAATTCGCTCAACAGAGCACGCAAGCCGGCGGTGGTGGCTTCGGCGGTTACCCAAGCGCACCCTCTGGCTCATATGGTGCTCCATCGAGACCAAGTGGAAGTTATGGCGCGCCTTTCTAAGGTTTATGCGTGTGTCGACTTAAATACATTTAAATACTAGATATATAAACAAATCTTGTGCCTGTGACCAAGTAGATGAGTAGAAGAAGAGGAATAAAAAAAGCCAAGCATAAAAATATAAATTAAATGTAGACCACGATCCTCAGCCAATACACCAATCAATGAGACAATCAATCAAACAACATGCTGCCAAATAAATGAAATTGAAGTTGAAACTGAAACTGAAAATGAAAATGAAGATGATGATAATGATATATGATGAAAACGATGAGGGCGATTTAAGGCATTGATTGCGATGAAGCATAAATTAAAAGTGAAAGTGGTTAAAAAATAATTATTAACTACAACAATGCCAGCAACAACAATAACGCCACTCAATGGATTATTCGACGATCACGGAGGAAGCGACATTAGCAATAGCAACAACCAAATCATCGAAATCTGCAACATTGTTGCCCTTTTCGTTGCTGTCGCTGAATGTCTGAAACATGTGTTGTATAGAGACATGTAGAGTATGATAATATCTACACAATTTTCTTATTTCGATTTCGCACTGCCAGCCACATCCACCCATCACCGTCAAGCACAATGAACAACGCAAACAACAAAATTAAACCGACATTGTACGCGCCGTACTTTGCTCTGCAGCGACCTGTGCTAAAAATATACAACAACAATGTGTAGGGAACTTATAATTCCATTGCAACACCGAAAATCAACCAGCACCAATTCACTGCAACGGTTGCCGTTGTGTCGTTGTCAACGTCGGCGGTGGTACAGTTGCAAGTGGTATATGGTGATGTGGGCCGTCAGTGATATTTCGTTTTCATTCTTCATGCGATCTCGCTCTTTCAACATCCAATCCCCCTCTATTTCCAAGGTATTTTCAATAAGCTATCCTTTATAACCCCCGCTGTTTCAACATATCCACCAAAAAGAACACATATTCCATTTTCCAACTGTTTTGGTGGATGTGTTTTGTTGAGTTTATTATTTTTATTTTTCTTGTAAATAGTTTTGAATTTTTTGTTTGTTTGTGTAAACAACAACAGTAACAGCAAAAAAAAAAAAACAAAAAATGTTATAACGCATCACTAGCTTGTAAGTGTTTTTATTTGTATATGAAACAAACAAGGAAACAACAAAAAAAATATGAAAACAATAAAAAAAATAGTAAATTTTGTCACCGTTAAATTTGCATTTTGTTTTATTTACACCTAATCCCTAATCATAAGAGCTAGACTCATTACAGAAGATATGTAGGTAGTTCTTAAATATCACACCGGTTGTTGAAGATAAACATAGATTTCCATTAACGCAATAGCTGATTTTTGTTTTCCATTTTCAGACTTTTTTGAAGTGAAAATTTAAAAAAAAGTTTATGTCACTCGAAAAATATAAATTGTATTACGAATATACACAACAAACTATACTTCATAATTTACATATAATGTAAAGTATCTAAACAAATATATCAATACGATGGCATATTGAGGACAGGGTTTGACGACGTTTATTATTATTTGCAATTTTTGTTAAAAATTCTTTAAATACATAACTTTTGAAACAGCTGTTCGACTTTTGTCAATAAATTTCACCACATTTTATCAGAAAGCCTTTCCTAGCATCTTAGGGAATTTATGCGACTGTCAAATCAAAATTGTCAAACTATCATTTCTTTGGCAAAATAAATTTTAGAAATAGAAAAGTGAATATTGCTGATTTAACATATGTGAAAAATACAACTTTTCACAATAGTTGGTCAACTATAATACGTTTAAAATTGCTGTCAGACACTTATTTTTCTTAGTTTGTGCCCCATTTTTATTGATTTTTAAACAAGTTTGATACATTTTTCGGTTATAAAATTTAAAATTTGACTTTTATGTTGTAGCTGTTAGATGTTACAATTTGTATTGTTAAATGTATCTGTATTTTTTGATGTTACTCTTCCGCACTGTCATTGAGCGCATTTTTTCTCTTGACAGTAGACAGATAAAACTAACTACCAAAAACCAAATAAGTGCATCCCTAATGCATTTCGCATACACAAGATTCATTCATCGCTCTTTAAATATTTCCACCCCTAAATGAAATTACAAAAAATGCAACTTTTGCAAGGCAAAATTTGTACAATATAATAAAGAATATCGAATTTTCTCAACTTTCCTGGTTTGAATAGACTACGAAGATATTTTCTTAACTTAAAAAAACAAGTCTATTGCATAGTCATTCAGTAACATGCATATAAATATGTATGAGACCATGCATGAAAATACCACAAAAAAATGCAAGTGCCGACTTTTTACTCCCTATTTGCGGTTGATGATGCCACACTGATTAGTTTGCATAACATTGTACATATATATAATTTTCGCCGTGTGGTAAAACAAAACTGAAAGAAATTGATGTCTGTGGCACAATTTGGTTTATTACTGTTATAATGGTTTCTCAGCTGGTGCTGCTATTGTAGTTTTTTTCCTACGTAATGTATTGTTTAATAGTGGGGCATTAAGTTTGGCTTGGCTGGGCAGCGTACCCATGTGCAAACGACAGTTATGTATATACATACCTCCATACTCTTGCCTCCATGTGGAATGTTGCGGCAACAATTAACCCAGCTACCCAGTTGGCTTAGTGAGCAAACATATATTTAAACATACTTGTACATACTATGTGAGTATGTGTATAACATCGCAACTTGTTGTTATCAGCCACAATGTGCATACATACTTTTATTTACATTTATGTCTGTCATGTAGGCCATTCATTTTTCCTACTTCAATACATCACATATAACCATATTTTTAATGGTAAATAAAAGTTTAAAATAGTAAAAGTGACCGAATATTTATGTTTCGATAGTTTTATACAAATATGAGTAAAAGATTTTAATTTTATAATTATTGATACAAATTCCTTTAAATATGTATTTATGATGTTTTCTTCAAATATTGCCATGAAATTATAACTGATTTTTCTGCCCTGAACATGGTACATTAAGTTTGACAAAAAGTATATTACACCCAGAAGGAACGTCAGAATGACGAGCTGTGTAAATTTAGCCATGCTTATGAGAGATCTATCTGAAATTTTGTACACGTACTTTTCGTCCCAAGAAGCTGCTCAATTATCGGAACCATTTTCGGACTACTCTAGTATATAGCTTCCATATATGGCAGTACAATCTCCGAACAAATTGTTCATTTCGGAAAACTGTAGCATATAGCTGTCATATAAACTAATTGATCAAAATAAAGTCCTTGTATGAATCTTTTGTATTTGTAAAAAGTTTTATAGATTCGGTATAACCGAAGTTAACGTATTTCCTATGTATGGTTGACCATTCATAATCATTTTTTATTTGAATCTTCTTTTTCAATAATTAACATACTTTATATACAATAACTAATTTGTACAATATTCTTTTTTGTTTTTGCTTTGTTATTGTCTTGTCTACACAGTATAGCTGATGGTTTGACAGTTCTATCAGAGATTGCCAGCAAAAACTATTCGTGGAATATCTTGCTACTTTTGACTTGGAGCAAATATTTTTTACTCACTAACTTCTTTAAATTTTGTAAACCATTTTCATGTTTTGTATTTACCACATTATTTTAAATAATAAAATAAATATTATTATGAACCGCGAAGTGTTATGACATACGTATGAAAGCTGTCAATTTTTTTTTTAATTACGCGTAATTTTTATACTCGTGTATGATTAACAATCTGATCAGTAATGACTTTTAGATATTCGCAGAACACAAAGCTCTTGCTCAAAAATACGCAATAGAATGAGAGAATGAAAATTGATGCAACTTTTAAAACTATCCAAAATTCAATAGAAGTCAAATTAACTTATTGCAACATTTGTATACTATAAAAATGAATTTAATTCTTTTCTGCAGACTAAATGTGAATACAAAATCTTGTATGCTAAACTCAGCCAACGACCTTATTTTAGCTCTACTAATTTATCACGTACTTGTATGCCAAGTTATTTATCGATATCTGTTCACTGTGTATAAAATTGCGTGATTTCGAAAAAAAAATTTTGTATTTACGTATATATTGAAAATAAGTGTATGTGCACCTAAATAAAATCGACTTTTTTAATTGTGAAGTATATGCAATTAATTCTTCTTCTTTTTCTCAATACGGACCTTAACCATTTAACCCCAGACTTGATATAAATAGAATGTTAGAAATATAATGATATACACATTATATGAAAGGTAATATTGAAGCTAGAAAAAAGAATGGTTAGAAACAAAAATTTATCAAATTTTACCTTAATCATGAATCACAATGACAAATCTGGACTAGCCTAAGACCAATAGCTACCAGACATGTTTGCTAAAGTTTTTATAAGTTTTCAAGGTCGAATTAGCAAAACTACTCGAAACTCTTTTGTACGTGATCGCGATCGCTCATCCCTTATTTACGCATGGAACTAACGAGTTGCAATGTGTGTATGTTTTTTTTCCATGTTAATTCTTACAATGCACTGGAGTTTCGGGTAGTCGTGACTTGCTGGGTTTTAGAAAATTGATATGATGTGATTTCCATGGCGTATGAGTGATAATTTAATATTTCGACGAAAAAAGTGTGACATATCTTTCCGGTTGGGAATCAGGGAGTCAGGCAGTTTCATAGATCAGTAGAGTCCAGAAGTTAGATAAATCATAATTTTTTGAGAAAATGTTAAACCTTTCAATACACTTCCTTTGATATCAAAGACTCTTTACAACCCAGTCAAAAATTTTTATAAGCGATTACTTTGAATTTCCCACATAAAATGATCTGCTTTGTCATATTTATGAGTTTTTATATGCAAACTATTTTGGTGTCGTACTTGTACAAACCACATATTCCAATAGGCATTTTTGTCATTGCGCGTTGCGCACAGTTGTCAGCCACTTAATATATTTTCGTAGCAAACTATGTAGTTTGTAATGGCTGCAGTGCAGCGGCCTATTAAAAACACAGTAACGGATTGTCGCGCTGATGACGCGATCAATGCTGCCAAATGTTCATACAAATATAGCAATGAATATACATACATATAGGTAGCTGTTGCAAGCATTTTCACCTTTTTTGGTGCGAGGTCCGAATCTTCTGCTGCATGGCTTGTTGTTGCTTCTGATGGTGTTGATGCTACGGCTACCATATCATCATCGTTGTCATTTTGCGGTTACCAAAAGTGAAAGGATTTTGATTTTATTGCCGAATTTTGTTATTTTAATGTTTCAGGTTTTTGCGCTGCTTACATTTTACAATTGCTGACTTTTTAAGTAATCATTAATTTTTATTGTTTTGGTTTTATTGTAACTGAACGCTTGTACAGATGCCACTTGCACAAATGCCGTTTATATGTAGCATAAATGTAAATGTAATCGCATATTCTTGTTGTAATCATCCTTGGCGGCTTGCAGCTGCAGATACCATAAATGTAACGAGACCGAAACTGAAATCGAAGTTGAATGCATCTCTGACAATTTGCGGCTGTGCGAAATATTGCGTGAAAAAATTATGCTGCAAGTAGTGACAGAGTACATTGTTTGTATGTATGTACATTGGATGCTAAATTAAGTTGTTTTAAATCTTTTGTACACAGGTGTAAGTTTATACTAGGTAGGCGGGATTGCGAGTTTTTAAAATAAAAAAATTAAATTTAATTTTTAATGTCGATGATTAGATGTTAATTTTTTAATCCAAAATGTTTGGGATTAAAAATTGAAAATATTACTTTTTGATTTGAATAAACTCGAAGATATGTTAATTCTAAGGCACATTCTTTTTTAATTCTTAAATATATGCTTAAGATTGAAATTTTTCTTTTTTACTTTTAGGATAAAATTTTATTTTTAATCCGGTATGCGGGATTAAAATTTTGTTTTAGTTTTTAATCCCTTTTTTGGATTACAAAATAAGAAAAAATGTAATTCAAATGTTAATTCAATTATTTTTTAAATGCATTATTTGCAGCCCTGGTAGTAAATCACCATTTTCTTTATAAAAGATACTAAATAGTTTTCTGATTGAAAAAGTACCACTGCGAAAAGTACCTGACTCGAACCATTGCCCTCCTCCAAATAGTCAGTGTATTATTAGTAGCTCACAACATGTGAATTTCAAGAACAGTTTCGAACAAATTTCCAACCTAAAGGACTGCGAAAACCAGTGCATTGTTGCGACTGTATCTTTGTTTCTGGTGTGTACCAGTGGATCCATGTTTCGTTGTTAGTCACAAAACGCTCGAAAAACTCCCCTGTATTCCACTTAAACAGCGTCAAACACGGTGAAGTGATCTGTCGGTTGTACTGTTTGCACAAATATTCATATTTCGTATGATGCTTATAGCTGTTATTTTCTATAATAAGACATTTCCTTATAACATACGACACAATTAGCATTTACAATTCCTGAAAATTCTCTTCCAGTTGCCTATAACGTAGTCTAGTTACACTAAAAGATTGAAGTTTCGTTGGATTTATATGCAGCTGATATAATTACCTTTAGGTCTTCCAAAGGAGATAACAGATCATGTTATTTAAATTTAACTTTACAATGACTGGATGAAAATTTTATGATAATTGATAAGATTTTATTTTATTATTCTATACACTACATGCGTACATACATATATGTATATATAGTTAGAGGTTTTATAACTAAATTATGAAAGTAAAATTATACATTAACTGAAAGCTCCTCAGCCGGGCAGGTAAAGTCGGTTTATTAGACACTCACAAAATTTTGAATTCCGCCAGTAAAATAAACGCATTAGACCTGTCGAGATGTCAATCGAAAATAGTACATTCGGTGCTGTCGTCCATCAGTTTAACGATTTTAGTTTCGGTACTGTCGATTATGCCGTTTTCGTGTTGATGTTAAGTATTTCACTACTTATTGGTGTTTATTTCGGCTTTTTCGGACATGGGGCGGATAATACCGAGGAATATTTGCTTGGCGGTAAAAGAATGAAAACAATTCCGATTGCGTTTTCACTTGTAGCAAGGTCGGTGAGAAATCGAGATCGAGACAAAACTAATTTTACAAAACATATTTTGACCAACAAATATAAATCTTTATTTTTTTTCTACAAAATTTAATTTATTACTAGTCAATTATCGGCGGCTTCGATGACGGCAATTCCTGCTGAAATGTACTCGTTTGGCTTTAACTGGTTTTTCAATTTGGTCTCTTTGTTTTTAACAATACCGATGCTCTGTTGGATCATAATTCCTGTATTTTATAACAATAACCTATCCAACTGTTATGAGGTTTGTTTACATGTAAAAGTAAGAGAATATTTGAGTATTTCACATATTAAAAAAATAAAAATTTTTAGAAAGCTAAATACTTTTTTAGAAATACAGCCCGCTAATGATGTGTGTACATTTTTTTGATTCCTTAAATCAAATATTAACGAGTAAATTTTTGTGCGAAAACAAAATACAACAATTTAATTACTTACCTTATTTAAAATATTTATGTCTGCAATAAAGCTTTCTAAATCTTATTTACTAGATAGATTTAGATCGGACCACTATAGCACATAGATTCCATTCAAACTGAGCTATCAAACAAATTCTTGTTTGGAAAACATTTTTATTTGTGAAGTGTATATTTTAATATTTTTAGACTATCTAAAGACACTTTTAAAATCGTATCATATTCCATAAAACTCTCTTGTGTTTTTCTAGTATTTGGAATTACGTTTCAATCGCAACACCCGCAATCTAATGACGTTCGCTTTCATGCTTACTCTCTTTTTAATGATGCCGGTTTTCATATTTATACCGTCCCTCGCATTCGCACAAGGTTTGTTTAGAAATATACAATATATTTATATAAATCATAATATCTAAATACAAATTAATAAGTTTATGAACATTCTTCTTATTAATAAAGTGATAATGCTTTTATAATATTTTCATGTATATATAGTAACCGGAATTAATATACATTGGATAAATACCTTTATTTGCTCAATCTGCGTTATTTACACAATGTTGGTAAGTTAAATATCATAGAAGAATAAAAAATAAATAAAAATAAATAATTCCGTTCATACTTAACATTCCTACGACAGTGGGATTTACTCATCCGAAACGGAGCTGTATTCCTCAAAATTACTTAAAGAATAGGGCTATAATAACAAAAATCTCGAAATTAACTGTAACCTGCTTGGATTTACTCTTCTAGATTATAGATCTAATTCTAATATTTTACTCATCCTCTTTATCATAAACTTAAATGATAGCCTAAAGACAATATTTACTATCTGTATATTTAAAATTTTTGTCTAGTTAGTTGAGGCAATTATACTTATTCGCGTGCAGTGTGTTTGTTTTCCGTACTTTTATTTACTACATATTTGTTATGTAAATATGTCTGTCAGTGAATTAAGCTTATCGTTTTTTTCTAATTATTATATATGTATATTTTGTTCATTTCTTATTTGTTTAATAATCCGTTATTTTTTCATAAAAAAAAGGGTGGAATCAAAGCTGTTGTATGGACTGATGTGGTCCAGGGTGCAATAATGATTGGATCCGTGGCGCTCTTCTGTTTTTTGGGAGCACAGAAAGTTGGAGGATTTAGCGAAGTAATCAATAGAGCAGCTATGGGCGGTCGTTTGAATGTTGAGTAAGATTAAATTTGATATAGTTTAAAGAAATATGAGCGATTTTACATCAGCTCTGTGTTTTTTATACTCTCTTTCAACAAATGGCTGATTAGTAGTTTAGTACATCTATCTTTTGCTTTTAACAAATTGAGATATGTACATACCAGTATATCTAGTGTAAAAACTAACTTGGCTTCTCAACTGTCTGTCTCTCCGTCCGTAATTTTTTAATTAGACAACCCTGCCTTCGCCAAGATTTTTATTATTCAGCATTACATTTAGCATCATAATTCTGTAAACCTGTAAATCACTGGACAGTTTTAAATAAATTTTGAAATGAAATCTTCATAGCAGTTTGTAAAAGGTAAAATCTTACTGTACCATCTCCACGCCTAACTGCTTTATACGTCATTTAATTTCTATAAAATTCTTGACATTAAACTAAACAAATTGAGCATCCGTAAATAAAAAGAAGCAAAGGCTAGTAAAGATGATACCCCTCATATGTGCTTAGTTTAAACAAGTAGTTTAGTTTAGTGAACACAACCGTTTCTGTGCACCCGGTTAATTTTATGCCAATTAATTACTTCGCGAGAAATGTTTATGCAATGACAAACAAATGAGACCGATTTTACTAGAAACTAAACTCGATGAATATTAAGGTTACTTTGTTAACTAATTTAAATCTTATATACTATTTACCAACACTTCAGCTTCACTTTTGATGCCAAAACTCGAATAACCTTTTGGAATACCACCATTAGTGGCTTCTTTTTGTGGACGGCCTATGTGGGTTTAAACCAGAGCTGTGTACAGCGAGTCGTTGCGCTACCATCGATTGATCATGTGAGACGTTCGTTGATTCTTTTTGGACTTGGTGTCTTAGTAATAGTAGGCCTGAATTGTTTTGTTGGCATAAGTGAGTGGAAGTTTTTGATACTGTGTATTTTTATGTTTAAACATTTCCATACATTTATTTTACTACATTAGCGATGTATGCACTATACTACGATTGCGATCCGCTCACCAGTGGTTACGTGCAGAAACAGGATAAAATGATGCCGTTTTTTGTACAGGATATAGCCGGTCATCTTAAGGGTATGCCGGGCATTTTTATCTCTAGCGTCTTCAGTGCGGCATTGAGTACCATGTCCGCTAGCTTGAACGCTTTAGCTGGTGTCGTATATTTGGATTACATCAAACCTCGTATAAAGCACACTGAGAAGAAAGCTAACTTCATAATGCGCGGATTTATTTGTGTCTGTGGTATATACAGTATTATTGCCGGTGTCATAGTGGAGAAATTCTCTTCGATATTACAAGTGATATATTCAATTAGTGGCATAACATTGGGATCGGTGTTTGGAGTTTATCTGTTGGGCATGTTGATACCGCGTGCACACGCCAAAGTGAGTTGGAAATATTCTGATTTTTCTCTAATCTTAATAAAACATATATATATATACATATATTCCAAAACAAGGCCGCCTTCTGGTCGGTGCTGGCAAGCATGACATCGATGATTGTAATTGTTGTGGGTGCACAAGGACGTCTAAAATATATTGCTTTACCTTCCTCGGTGGAAAATTGTCCTGCAGCAAATACTAGTGAAACATTTTTGTTTAATACTACATCAACAACCGTCAATCTACCAACTTCATCAGCAAGCGATAGTTTTAACATTTTTGATATTTCTTTCAATTGGTACGTTACTGTGGGCAATCTAATTGTTTTTCTTGTCGCCCTACCACTCAGTTATATTTTGCCCGCTGAGAAGGATTTCAAATTAGATTTAAAGCTTTTATCGCCTGTGGTGCATCCATTTTACAAATATAAATTAACGCATACGGAAGAACTACCTGAGATGCAGAAAGTGGTTTTCTAGAGCACAATAAAGATGTCTTATTGCCTGATTAGCAGTGTAACTAAAATACACAAACTTTCTTTAGAAGTGTAATATAGCTTAAATAACTGAAATGTAAGCAATTTTAAATATTGCATTCCCATTACAAATAATAATTGAATTTCATACTGCCTTCGGCCATGTTATATAATATAAATCAGTGTACTTACATTAAAATATAGGGGCTATTCTACTACTTTCTGACAAGGAATTTATACGAGTAGAGGTAAAGTAGAATGTTTCTGTCTAGTTAGTGATAACTTCCAAACTTAAAAATCGGACTTCAGTAACCAAGTTCATAAATCTAGCTTGTGTGCTCTTCATATAAATTATATTGAAAAAATTTATATATTTTTTTTTGGCAACTTAATATTATGATTGAAACTTTAATTAGGAATCAAGTAATATCCCTTTTAAGTTATTATCACGAAAAAATATGTATATTATAATTCTAAACCAACACGCGTTTAATGTATGGCAACATTTAATAGAAATATCCTCCAAATGAAGTTTGATACTACACACATGTTGAATATGATAAGATGAATATCACACATAACTGTAAACAATATAATTAGCTTTCCTACTTTAGAATCTACTGAAATAACGTCTGTATAAATATTTATAGGATATAGTGAAGCGCTAAGAGGTGTGTTAATCTTTAACATACTTATGTGTTTATCTATATGTTTCATTAATTAAAAAATTGCGCAAAAAAATTGTGAAATTTACCTTTTAGATAATACTATTTGCATAAAGTAAGGGGCTCTCCCCTTAAAATGGCGTTGAAAAATAAACAAATAAGACCTTCGGTATCACATTTTTCAAACAATTTCGGCGTTATCTTGTGTGACAATTAACTCCTAAGAACGATATAAAACCAGATACACAAAAAAACATGAAAGGAACATAAACTTGAATTGGCAAAATGATAAAATAGAATTACTTGCAAAAATAATAGTTTATTTATATACAACAAGCCACTACAGTGGACTATAAACGTGGGTGCTACCTACAGACTCCCAAATTATTTGGATGATTGTCATAAACGAGGCAAAATGCCAAACTTTTAAAGCAATTGAAAATAAAGACTATCTTCCTTTTGTTCAAAACGTTATGGACCAATGTTTTTTCCAGTTTAACTCACACAAAAGCAAGGAAAACGTTAGCTTCGGTTGCACCGAAGGTATAATACCCTTCCCAAATATAAAAGACTCCATACAAGAACTTGATTTGATCGATCAGTTTGTATGGCAGCTACATATGTATATGCTATAGTTTTCTGGTCTAAACAATATGAATAATCGGAGATTGTAGCGCTGTGTTGGATAATAATATATGCCAAATTTCGAGATATTTGTCAAATAAAATGTTTTGCATACAACAAATAGGTTTTCATCAATAAGTTTGTATTGCACATATGTATATGTTATAGTAGTCCAATATCGGCGATTCTGATAAATGAGCAGATTCTTGCACACAAAAGAACGTGTGCAAAATTTTAGATCGATAACTCAAAAACTCTTGTGTCTCAGTTCACGTATTTTTTATTATTATTATTTTTTTTTTATATTAGAGGGAAGCATCAAAAGCCGCAATGCGCTTTAATCCGCTAAACCTAACCCACTCCCATTTCATATCTCTTCCTCGAAACCACTGGACTAAGTATTACTTCATGGGAGAGAAGTACGAACCGACTGATCCCTAATCTGTTGTAAGTATCTCAGTCTTGTCATAATCAGAGCTGACGCATAGATGACAGCTTTCCATTTAATAGAGGACTCGCACATAAGTGCTGTCAAATTTTCCACCGTGAAACTACCGATGTCTGGTATCAGTCTGTGGGTTTAGCACCCTTTAGATGAGGTTTGTCACCGTTGCCGCCACATTGCAATGCTTTTGGTACTTTCCTCTATTTTTGCTGCTGTAGAAGGTTCGGATAGCCGGTATAAACGCGCAAATTCATTTACCTTGATGTCAATGGGCGCCATACTGGCTAACACTTCAGCAGCGTCGTTTGATATGGTTCGGAAAGCACTTATCACGCCTAGCGCCTTGATCCATATTGGACCGGCAAACAAAATAACTGATCTCATTACCTTAGCTGTTAAAAATCGTCAGCTGAAACGCACACAGCCTCTATTTGCCATCATTCTAGATAAAGCATTATAAATTTTATTTGCTTTACCTGTTGTGTTTTTCAAGTGCTCTTTAAATTTTTAGACTTGAAACGCGTGTATATACAGACAGATGGACAAACAGACATGACTCAATCGACTCAGCTCGCTAATCATATATATGTATATACTTTATGGGGTCTCCGAAGTTTCTTTCAGGGTGTCCAAAAAATCGTGGCAAACCTGTTATACACTGTTCAGGGTGTTGGTGTGGGTGGGTATATAATTAACTTATTTCGAATACAGTATTTTGTAATTAAAAAAAGTAATTTTATAATACATAATTCTGCAAAACACCATAAAATTGTTCCCACATACTCCAAATGAAATTTAAATGATTTTGAAGCTAAAAACATGAAAAATTATTTAATTTTACTACTTTAGTAACTGAAATGCAACAATTTTTTATCATATGCAAATATAGTTTTTCACTCGTTTTATACTCAAAATTGAGCACTTGAAATATTTACGAGTAATGCGATTTCTGCGGACTCATTTGACGACGTTGAGCATCGTACCATAATAAATATATATTTTACGTCGCACCAAAAGTAAAACAACATATAAAGGGATGAGAAAGCTTGAGTGTGAAAATTCAATAGTGATATCTATGTTCTTACATATAAGTAAGATAGGATAAAGATGAAATCATTGCACGAGTTCAAAATTAATTCATAAAATAAAAAATAGTGCGTTGTGAAATGACAGCGTTTCGTACTATGTTGGCATATATACATATGTATACATATATACGTATGTATGTGTGTGCTAAATTACCCTTCAAGAACAGTGACAGAACAAAGTTTCTATCATTTTCTTAAGAGCCTAGTACAAAATTATGTAAACAAACAAACAATTGTGTGATTTTGCATCTCTATTTAACACATGGGCATTCGTAATTGATTCACAGTAAAATGACTGTCAATGTTTACGATTTTTCCAAAAGTAAATTTTGTATACGTCGAAAAGAGTACAGTACACATTTCTATACTAGTTTCTCGAGAAGTTGTGAAATACCTATGTAGCTATTATTCTGTGTGATAAACCAAAAGTGTTGCGTGCTCCTGTGCAATAATTTTTTTTGTGTTAAAAAAAGAAATAAATAACGAAGGAGTTTTCAAATATAATATACGTAAGTTTTTATTAAGTTTCAAATAAAATTATATTTTTAGTTAATTTTCATTTTTATTTAGGCATTTGTAAATTCCGAAATATCCATGAACTGGAGAAACACGTGCAGCAGAGCTTTGAGAGGAGCTAGCATGGAATCAAGTGAAAGTTTTTTTTCATAATTTATTATTTAATTATATTTTTTATTATTAATTGTAATTAAGAGTTTGGAATTAATTAAAAAAATAAAAATTGTATATTATACTGCGCAAAAGAACTTTTCACTTGTAATAGATTTACAGTCATAACTTAAAAATCGCAGATATGATAGCTTTTCATCATAACAATTTTCAGCTTTGATGGATTTATGATCAGCAATGACTCAGGAAAAGGCATAAGAGCGGTCAGATGACTGTCAATGTTCTTGTAGGGGAAGTAGCAGTTTTGCATGTATTTGATTTACAGGTATATACTAGTTTAAAGCTTTGGCTTAAAAGTCATTCTCACACCCGTTATTTTATTTGTATACAGATTTAAAACGTCTTAAATATTGTGATAAGAATTCTTTTCAACAAGATAAGCTACAAATGTGTCAAGTATTTAAGGAAAAGCCACCCACATGACATGCATATGTTTGAATCGCGCCATAACGGCTAAAAGTGCTCTCGGTAGTGTCACTTTTAGTAAAGTGTTCTATTGAATAATTCCCAAATATATGGATACATAAATACATAAAAAACCAAGCAGGAATGTAAAAGTTAAGGTGTATTTTAAGGACTTTTGGTTGTTTTTTTTTACTTTGACTTTTCTGCCATTGTGTGAAGTGAAATATTTTCGTTTGTAAAATAAAGAGAAGTTAAAAATGTCTACCACCACTACTATTGCTGCCGAGATTACGAAGAATATGGCAGCCACAACCGCTGCATCTCTGCCGTCTGGTCGAAATTTCACTTTCGGTGGCGTGGATTATGTTGTCTTCATTTTGATGTTGGCCTCTTCTGCCGCTGTTGGTATATACTTTGGTTTCTTTTCAAAGTCGAAAAATACCACAGATGAGTATCTTATGGGGGGCAAGCAAATGAAAGTCATACCAATTGCTATATCTTTGATCGCAAGGTGAGTTATAAATGTGCTATTGAAATAAATGAATCTCAGAAATATTGAAGAGAGAAAAATGTCAACATCCACACAAACCATGAATATTAAAATTTAAAAACAGTTTTTTAAAAGAACTGTTCTGGGATATTACTTTTCACGTCGACAGTTGGGGAACCAAGAGATCACGAATCATTCATATTTCGCCTATTAATATTATGCCGGAAATTTGTATCGCTGATTTTAGCTAAGTACTCTGTGGGTTTGACACACAAAATTGAATTAGTATCATGAAGACTCATTGTATGTTAAATTTTTTCGGTTGTATCTGACCTCTTCTATTGGAAGAACTTCATAATGTTTCCGACGCCATAAACAAAAACCCATCATGAGCAGCATGTTAAAACCAAACTCCTCAAAATTAATCTTTTCTCAAAGAGTCTGATAAAAATTGCATACGAAATTACATGAATACATCGTCAATAACACAACATTCAATACTGGTGAATCGACAATTTCCGAACACTATACACTTCTTCAATAAATTCATGCGTTGAGTTGGACGTTTTTGACCTACTTCAATAAACTGACACACTTTAAATGCAATTGTTACTTAACTACAATAAAGTGTTCTTTTTTATTTTTACTTGTTTGCATATTTTTTAAATATTAATATTTCTATTTTTACAGTCAGTTATCAGCCCTATCCATAACAGCAGTTCCTGCCGAGAGCTATTCCTTTGGTATAAATCAGTTCTTCATCATAGTATCCATGGTTTTCGTGGCTCCACTACTATGCTACATTATTATACCAGTCTTCTATGAAAACAACATTTTCAATTGTTATGAGGTAATAAATAATGCGGTAAATAAATATATGTACATATAATTTGGTAAATTTTAAAACCATAGTACAACTCAATTAGCCTAGGCTACTTGTTTTATAGTAAATTCCATATGAGCGTAAGCGGTTCATTGCCCCGGTGACAAAACTACAATATATTATTGGATATGAAATTCTATAACTCAATCAGTAATTAAGTGGTCACCATGATATCATGGTAAGCAAATAGAGAAAATCGGATATGGATCACACCCGACTTCTATATATTACTGTTACACATACCAAAGTTGCGGACCAATAACACCAGACTTATTAAATTTGCCTAAAATTAAAGTTTAAATAATTTATATTAGGTATAAGATAGCCAATTTTCCCTTGAATTTTCATATTTCCCGTACTTCTTAACAGATCTAATACAAGCTTGGGTCATAAAATTACCAGAACGCCCTCGTGGTTTCAACCACGAAAACCATTAAAATCATCAGTAATCAGTCAAGATTTTTAAAAATAGTTTCCATGTACCGAATACGAAGCTACCGCTTTCCAGTTGACGATATAAACACTGTTTATGTTAGTCATTTAGTGTTATCGGTGCAGGCTATCCCCAGCACTAATATGATGAATAGACAAATTTCTGTCAAGTTGTGTTAAAAGTGTACATTTTGAACGTTTCGCAAGCAATCTCAAATTTTGTTCGTTGCCTATGGCTTAACCTAAAGAATACCAATACTTTTAATCTTAACATTACGTTTTTCGAATAATAATTTTATTTGTTAATTTCTTAATTATCCGTCTACTCTTTCAGTATTTGGAAATGCGTTTCAACAAACGCACTCGACAGCTGATTACATTTACATTTATTTTAAATGCCTTTCTGTTATTACCAGTAATTATATTCATTCCCGCATTGGCTTTTGCGCAAGGTATGTTGTAAAACAAAACAGTTCTTGCTTACTTGAATACTCTGCGTATAAGTAATTTCTAAGAGAAAGCTAAGTACCAAGAGAAGCAAGTGAAGTGGACTCAACTTTTATTTCGTGCATAAATTAAGATGTTGATATAAATAACGAATTTTCCATTACAGTGACTGGCTTGAATATACACGTTGTCAATGGTGTTGTGTGCTCGATTTGTGTTTTCTACACAATGTTAGTAAGTAAATACAATTGTTTAAGAGAAATAAGTTCTTTCAAAATGTCTCTTATTTGCCATGAAACATTTGCTTTGACATTTCTATTTGTTGTTAAGGGTGGCATTAAAGCTGTTGTGTGGACTGATGTGCTGCAGGGCGGCATTGTGCTTTCATCTGTGATATTAGTGGGCATTTTAGGCACCATAAAGACCGGAGGAGTCAGTAAAGTTTTTGAATATGCTACTGAAGGTGGACGTTTGGATTTAAAGTAAGTAAATAAAAAATGTGTAATAAATTGTTCGGATTACCACGGCAAATATCTCTTTGTTCTTTGTGGATTGGCTGATATTTTCGGTAGAAGGTCAACTATAGGCACTGGGGTCCGCATATTTAGTAATTAGGGGCTTGAACAGTTTTGGTTCGATTTAGACAATGTTTGGTCACAAGGTGGCATACTTTAAACGTATTATTCACGCAAAGTTTTACGCCGATATAATCATTGTTGCTTGATATGCATAGTAGAAAGTAAAAGAATCAGATGGAATTGAAAATGGTGTTATACGGGAAATAGGCGTGGTTGTAGTCCGATTTCGCCCATTTTCGCACTATAACATAGAAATATGAAAATAGCGCTATGTACCGAATTCTGTTGAAATTGGTTAAGCAGATCTCAAGATATGGATTTTCACCTAAAAGTGGGCTGTGCCACGCCCACTGTCTAATTTTGAACGCGGTTCCTATAAAGTCATTTCATACCATCCCAGAGACAAAAATTTAATGTCTCTGGCGTGTTTAGTGCTTGATTTATCACGCTTTTAGTAGTTTTTAACAGTACCGTTATATGGGGAGTAGGCAGAGTTGCCATGCGATTTCAACTATTTTCACACTGTATAGAGGGTAGAGGTTCTAAAAACATTTGCTTCCAGTGCATTTTGTTATTATAGCATTAGCGATTTAGGAGATATGCACATTAAACCTATTAGAGGCGGGACCACGGCCACTTAAAAAAAAAAATTTTAACTGCAGATGCCCCTCCCTAATGTGATCCTGTGTACCAAATAACAGTCTTATATCTTATTGAGCTTAGTTATGGCAATTTATTTGTTTTTGATCAATGACGTTTTGTGGGCGTGGCAGTGGCCCGATTACGCCCATCTGCAATACCAACCGTCTCGCGGTACCAAGAAACATGTCTACCAATTTTCATAAAGATATCTCAATTTTTACTCAAGTTACAGCTTGCACGGACGGACAGACAGTCACCCGGATTTCAACTCGTCTCTTCATCCTGATCATTTATACTCTGTAGCAACAGGTTGCGAGAGTATAAAAAGATGACAGAGAAAAGGTGACGGCATTATCTTCTTTTTATAAGCACAAACTCGATCATATTTCGTTTTTTTATTACTTTGATCTTTTCTCAAGTGATCCATGTGCGTATTAATTTGGTTTTAGGCAGTTTCTTTTAGTTTTTAACCATACATAGGAACATGCTTTAATAAAAGTAATTTAAATTAAAATTTCGCGGGTCCACTTGTAGTTGCATTCATTGTTTACTTTGTCTATAGCAGCCGCTAAGGTTAGTTGTGTTTTTATGAGCTTGGCGATTTTCGTTTGTTAAAAGAAATGGATCAAAGAATTTGTTCTTGGTCAAAAACAATATTGTAACGATGGTCCCGCCTCCATATTCGCCAGACATGGCTCCGTGTGACTTTTCCCAATTACCAAAAATAAAGAGAAGCTTAAAGGGCCGTCGTTTTACAAGCATAGATGACATTAAAAGCACATCGCTGAAAGAGCTAAAGGCTATCCCAAAAATGGAGTTTGACAAATGTCTCGACGATTGAAAGAAGCGCTGGATAAGCGCATAATTTCCAATGGGGACTATTTTGAAGACGACAACATAAATGTAGACAACTTAATATTTATTTTCAAAAAGCGAAAATTTCCGTTAATTTTTGTACGTACCTCATATACTAAATGATTGATGCTGATATTATCTTTTTCGTAGCTTATCACTCGATCCACGCATGCGTATCACGGTCTGGAATTCACTCATATGTGGTGTTATGATGTGGACCGGTCATGTGGGTTTAAATCAGAGCTGCGTGCAACGTATTGTCTCACTGCCTTCCCTGAAGCATGCTCAAAAGTAAGTTTAGCTTTATATAAAGAATAATAACAAATAACGGCTGGTTCGAAAACTTTACACTTCGTGTTTGTTTATTAACAGTGCGCTCTGGTTAACTTGCATTGGCTTCTTAGCCGTAATGACCATAAATTGTTTCATTGGCATTGTGATGTATTCTTACTATCATGACTGTGATCCCATCAAAGCAGGGGTAAGGTTAAACTTTTAATAAAACGAATTTATGTAGTACATACTCTGGTTTCATATTTAGTTGGTCAATAAGCCTGATAAAATGGTGCCGTTTTTTGTTCAAGATATCATGGGGCATCTAATTGGTATGCCTGGTTTATTTATATCTTGCGTCTTCAGCGCCGCACTCAGCTCCATGTCCGCCATGTTGAACTCCCTGGCCGGTGTGGTGTATTTCGATTATATTAAGCCCCATATTAAGAAATACCGCTCGGATGAACGTGCGAATTTCATAATGAAGCTCATTATTATCGCAATGGGTTGCTATTGTGTCGTTGGTGGTATGATAGTAGAACGTTTCGATTCCATACTACAGCTGGTAATAACAATTACTGGTATCAATACCGGTTCCGTAGTCGGTGTTTTTTTGCTGGGCATGCTTGTACCCCGCACTAACGGCAAGGTGAGTAGAATAGTTATTAATTATCAAGTTTTATTGTAAATTTATTAATTGTGGTTCTCTGTGCTGGAAAAGGTGGCCGTGGCTTCGATTATTTTCAGCATTTTAAGCATGTTTTGGATTATCATTAATGGTCAGATTCGTGCTAGAGAAGGCGCTATTCGTTACACACCGCTACCCTCAAATATTGAAGGATGTCTAGCACACAATTTACAAGTCTTGGCTAAACCTATGTAAGTTGGCTTTTAATTATCAAATCATAGATTAATGTGCTAGGTGTTCTTTATGGCAGTTCCTTCAGAAAATTCAAAACTTTCTTATTATTAACGGAGTAAAGTTTCCCATATGACCCCGAAGGTCTTACTTTTTCTGGTCCTACCTCTCGAGTGGATTACTGAAGTGTTAATAGTTTGTTACGATCATTAAAAAAAAAAAAGATTTATATAAAACATGGATATCTCACAGATTAACAATTATCTTAGCTTAACTACGTGACATAATACTTAAAACCATTTTAGAATTAAAAAAATCTAAAAAAAAACAAAACACAAAAAACATGTTTGTAACCCAAACTAGTTGAAATGGAAGCTTGACCTCCCTCACGCCTTTTTCTTATTCTTGATTCCTTTGATAATTAAAAAAGTGTGTGGTTTCTGTCTTTTAGTTCGAACGTTACGAACGAGGGAGTAGAGGAGCCAAAGGTCACCACAGCTTTTGGTAGTAATCGTGAATTTTCGATTTACGAAATATCCTTTTATTGGTACAAAGTTGTTGGAGTTTTACTTGTCTGGCTATTGGCCATACCGCTAAGCTATATTTGGCGGCGAGATGAAACCGATAAAATTGATCCACATCTTTTCTCACCATTCGTACGGCGTTTCTTAAAAGGAAGTTCACCTGTGGAAATGGAAGAGTTCCCTCTAAAAACACCCACTGCAGCAGAAGAGAGGGAAACCAATGGCGGTACAACAATTCTGATGCAGGAAAAATTCGAAAATAGCAATTAATAAAACCAAATAGTATAATTAATTAAATAAAAAATATCGTTTTAATGTTAAATATTGAACTCTACTATTTCCAGTAATATAATACCGAAGTGAGAGAGAGAGGTAAGTCTTACCAGTCAAGTTTTATAGTCAGTAGTTAAGATAATGCCACATATACGCTCTGTGAATCCATATTTCTAACTCTTCTATTTGGATCTCATAATAAGACTTAGGGACCAGAAGGTCGGTCAGGGGGCAGAAAAGTTAACTGTTAACAGTAAATTCCTCAAGTGGACGCACATAACTTTGTTTACAATTAGAACGAAATGAGACCTAGAAAATTAAGGGTAGACTGGACGATGCGAGAATGTAGCCGAGTTATTCTGTACCACGTATTAGGATAGCGCTAACTTTCAGCTTTTCAGTCAGCTTAGCTTCATTGACCAGAATGTTTTGCTCGAGAAAAATCGTCTGTCGCTTGAATGATCGTGTTGTTGTAGTATCAGCAGAAAATATTCCTGTAGTAATTTCGAAGTATGGTGCCGAGTTGACAGTCATTGGCCAGATAAACATCCGGTTCCGTTCCGATTACTTAGACCCGACTGTCGAGAGAACGGCTCGAATGCTCGTCGTTCTTATCGATCGTGTGAAACTGTAATGTATTATGCAATAAAAGCTAAAATTTTACTATTTTCTCATTAGCAGTCCTTATGTAATTATAACCTTGAAACTAAAACAGTTTGGTGTATTTCAGCGGACGTTTAGCTTGATTGATCGCAATACGTCTTGGCTCACACGTATGTCGAATACATGCTAGTGTAATTCATCAAAAGTTACACTTAACAACGGTTGAATTGGAATATACCAAAGTAGTTCAGTTTTGACTTCGATGACTATCAATTTAATCTAATTGTACTCTCTGCTCCAGACAAGGTTAGAGAACCAAAAACTCCCATGTTGCTCATAATGTGGATTATAACTGCTCAATGGCAATATTAGCTACATAACCTCGCTTATTTGCTGTGATCCATATACAAAGATAAGTACTTTGCTTTTCAACAATTTTTTTTTTGTAATGTAGTAATGTCTAATTAGAAAATTGCCTCAATAAAAAATACAAAATTTAAATAAAATTCTTTTGTTTTTTTCTCTTTTGTATATTTAAACTCTTTATTTACAAAAGAAAGAAATGTGTATATTGTGTATATGTATAATTAAATTTACAGATATCTTATGTGATACGTTTGTTTACAGCTAAGTTAAATTTAGTTGTTTTTGTAGTTGTTACGGCTTAGTAGTTTGACGAAATTGGTTTTCTCACCTCGCTTAAACATTTGTTTTAGGAAAAAATAGCTTATGCCAAATCTCTTACAAGAATTAAGTTTCTGGTGGTTTTTTTTTCTATTGTATTTTATCTTCATTTACACTTTAGTAGCACTACTAACATTTGCGCCTTTTTGAAAATATAAAGAATAATTTTGCCATGCAAAAAGTTTAAGAATGTGTAGAATGCTTTTTAATTGGAAATACCATTTTAACTTTCCCTGAAAGAAAAAAATAAATAAAACTTTTAAATTATTTCGGTGTACATTTCTTCATTCTGCGAAAATGTACACTTTATAGATATATATGTATACTGAAATAAAGTAAACATGTATATTGTTTGCAAAAGTTTCAGGAATAAAATTTCAAAAGCACTATTAACCTAAAACTACCACCCTTTAGCAGCTCCAAACAAAAACATTACAATTCTTTGAAGGTAGAAACTTTTGTTGAAATTAATAAGTTTCCCGAAACTTCTTACACATGCATATATTTAGTCTAATGTTACTATATTATTGCTCTTGATATTCACCTTTTTACTATACAGCATTACCTTACATCTTATTTATATAGAAATTCATTTTCTTTGCAAAAAAATTTGTGTTATAATTAAAAATTTTCACATATACATATATATATAATTTTTTTTATTGTTTTTTTGGATTTTTATCAATTTTATAAAATGTACTGCATTTTGTATATTTTGCAATAAAAACAATAAATGATTGTTTATGTTTTTTATTGTTTTGAATTGTTTTTATAATCTAAATTAGTTGTAGATTTATATTTTTTTGCATATAATTATATATATAATATATTATTATACATTGTGTTTATGTAGTCCAATTAAAAAAAAAATATGCAGCTCGACATATTAACTTTTATCTGTTGATGCATAAAATTTGTAAATTTAAATTTCTGCGGTGAAAATAGAGAAGTAAATCTAAGAATAAAGTATGAAAACATATATAAAACTAAACGTCCATAAATATATTTCAGGCGGGTTGTGTGGTAGACATTCGTGCATAACTAAATGGCTTGTCAACTCGGCAACTAGTACTCCTCATCCTTTTGTATACTTCTCCACTCCACAATTGCAAGTATATTAATGTTGCGTCCATATGTGGTGGTTTTAACGGTTTCTGCCTTTTGTAGCATTATAACGGTTAACTATTGTAATAAATGTTGAAGTCGATGTATGTATTTCACGTTTACAAAATCGTTGCCACGGTACCATCCGTATTTGCATTAGTTATTGATGGCGACACGACTTTTGGTACACCTGCATTCAGCCAATTAAAAAATAAAAAAAACAACAACAGAAACAAAAAACATTATTTAATAAACTAATAATATTTGTTTATCAATTCTAACTTACACAACTCATTTTCTGGCTTTATATCATTATCATTGTTGGCGTTTACTTCTATTGCTGAATTTTCAACTTCAACAGTAGCGGGTTTTTCGATAGCCAGATCTTCTTTTACGTTATTGGCACAAGTTTCACTGTTTGCAGTTAACGCGTTAACATTCGGCTCTAAGCTCCCCACTTCACAAACAACCGGCGCTTGTGGAGTCACTTCTGCATTAACGATTACCGCGTCTTCAACGTCATTAGACTTAACTGCAAGTTCTTGGACTGTTTTTTTTTTTTCTACAGTTACGGTTTCCTGACTTATTTGGGCTTTATCTAGCGGCGCAGAGCTTTCCTCCGTATTTGAGGTTGGTTCGATTGGAGCAGGTGTAGATTCAATTAGCTCGACATCACTGCTTTTTGAGTTCGAATCGACTTCCATTGCTTCAGAGGGTGCATCTTTTGTCACCGTGGTTGTTGCTAATTCTTCGGTGGTTGATTCTGTGGTTTCTACAGAAACAATTTCAACATCTGTTGTTTCTTCTGGTTTAACTGGCTCCGAATCAGCGGTTGCATCTATTGGGTCTACTGCCGCTACAGGCTCACTTGTGTCCATTGCTGTTTCACTATCTTCAGGTATATCTGATATATCTTGTTTCGCTTCTGTAGAAATAACGTTTTGGTCTTTATTTTGTTCATCTTCTGCAATAGTTTCCGATTCGATTTTAGCATCTGTTTGTTCCTCAGATTGCTCCACATCTGATAAGGACTCTACCGCATCATCTTCTATGTTTTCTTTAGCCTTTTCAGCAACCTCTTCTGGAACAGATAATTCAGTAACAAGCTCAGACGAATCTGTCGATGTGTTGTTGACTTTGTCTGAAGAAGCCTAGAGTTGAAAAGTAAAATATTTATAATCAAATCAATTGAGATTATGTTTAACCACTAACTTGTTTCTTTTTTGGGGATTTCGATTTTTCTGGTGTTTTAGTCGCTTTCGGCTCCGCTACCTCTTGGGCTTCTTCCGATTCTTCGGATATTTCAATTTTTCTCCCACGTCCTCGACCACGGGACGGAGTGCCGCTAGCATTTGCCGGAGACGTACGCGCCTTTTTCGCAGGAGGCGGAGTGGACGCTGCTGACGCACGGGTTGGTGTGCCACGTGTGCTTGACCGTGTGCGCCGACCACCATCTAACTCCAAACTACCGCCCATATTTTTAACGAGCTCTTCACTTTCCTTTTGCGCCCGTTCTATGAAAGACATCCGCTTCGAAGGTGTCCGTTTCACCTAAACAAAACAGTAAAAACAACAATATTGGTTAATCTTATCACCAAATTCATATTATTTAATATATGGAGTATTTCTTGCCATTAGTTCGACTTATGATTATCTAACTTGTATTACAAAAGAAAATTAAAAACAAATATCCAGATATAAAAAAAAATAAATCACTTTTTTTTAGTATAGCATATCAACATGTTTTACTAAATCGGTAAACAATAATGAGAGTCCTTCATAAAAGAAAAGAAAATCTGTAACAAAACAAACACAGGAAAATATAAGGAACCAGCAAAACTGATGTCAACCGACCGTACGTAAATTTAAACGCGCGCAAAATCCAAACGAATCACAAGAATTGGTATGAAGTACAGCAAACCTCAGAAAACACAATCCATGTACACAACAAACACGCTTTGAAGCGCATAATTCAGCTCGTTCGTTGCATTGAGGAACAAGCAACGAGTATAAACAGAAAAAGAGGGAAAACTAAAAAAAACACAATGCAAAGTAACGAAAACTAAACTACACGAAACTTAATGTTAAGAGCCGAGTTATAGGTGGAATAATAAAAAAAGAACGTTATAGTTAAAATAAAAAAAAAACTTATGACAACGTAAGGCAGCGAAGTAGCTGCGACATTAATGCGTTTCTACGTCACAAACGATGTATCAACAGAGGGGGCGCTGTAGTAACATAAAATGAGGTAACAACTTGATCACAAATATTAAAGCAGATAGAGGGGGAAAACGCGCGCTTTTTATGCCACGAGCAATAAATTTATTTTTGTTTTAGTACAAATTTGTAATATGTTGCGGTTATCTGTGTGTATCATCTACACATTTTTAATAAAATAAAAAAAAAACGTACACTATATCTTTTCAGATATGTATTTGATTATTGCAATAAACCTCATTATTGTGAAACTAATTGGATCTACATTGTACAACAATTGGAGCTATTTCTGGATACTTTCCAGAGAGTTCGGTGGAGATTTATAGAACTTTGTTTGCACAATACTTATATTTGATTTTATCGCATCGCATCGCTAATTACCGCAACCCCCCGCATACAAAATGCATTAACAGAATTTATGTACATACATATAGCGTTAATATACCAATTGAATTATACTTACGGGTGTCTTCTTGCTTTCCACTTTTGGTGAAGATTCCCTTGGTTTGGTCGCCTCCACAGCGCTAGTGCCCGCATCGCCTGACGCACATTCAGCTTCAGTGCTGTTGTTGACCACTTGCTTTTCAGTCGCAGTTGCTATCTCTGCCTCAGTCAACGTGGGCGCGTTCGCAGACACCGTTTCCCCCTTTTCAACAATCGTCTGTTCAACTGGTACAGTGTTCTGCTGAATTTCACTCTTATTCGCAACTTCAGACATTATTGTTTTTTTTTTTTGTTTAAAAAATAGTTCAATTCCGCAATTATAATATTTTGTACTAGTACGTCAAATTTATTTGCGCTTTCAATGTTATTCTATATACGTGATTCACAACAACGCGCACAACGAAAAATTTTTCCCTGCACCTTTTTATTATATTTTTGCGAGAAAGGGTTACAAATATTCATATAATTTTATTGTTTTCACGATTAAAACTTATCAAATTCACTTATTCCGCTAATTTGTAAATTTGTTGCACACGAAAACATGTAAATTTCTTGAAATAAATTTTCCACTTCACAACGTAACGCCGCGCATCCGTTTAACTTATTTATTCGTTTCTTTTCAGCGAATAACTCTAATCCTCAGTGTTGCATTTTCTTGAGCGTAAATTAAGTAGTGCCATCGTGTAAAATCGTTCTCGTTAAATGTAACTATAATAAAATTCCTTATCACATTTATAGATAATTTATACGTTTTTAAATGTGCATTATTTGTAAGTATAGATAAAAATTGAAATATCACTTTTATCTGTCAAGGCACGTGCTTTTGAAATGCACTCGTTGAATAACTCCGAAATGAAAGTTTTGAATAGTTGTCATTAACAAACGAGTCAGACGTTGGTATTTTTGCGAAATAATAGCAGAGTTGCTCTTGATATTTCAATCGCATTTGAACTGACTTTTTGCATATATTTATTCGAATTGAGAATTTTAATTTAAGTTAATTTTTTTATGTACGTAAACTGATGTATGTTATTGTTTTGAAAATTGAATTTATCTTGCAAAACCATATCAGTTCATATGGAATAAATGTGTTAATAAAAAATATATTAATAAATTGCAGCAACCCTATACCACATCTGTAATAAAAGTCATTCCGAATTGGAATTGTAAATACTTGAGCACGCTTATTTCCTTCATCGTATAATTTGAAACTTATTTTTTAATAAAAACCTACTACAAGCATGGCTACCCAGGAGCAGCTTAATGCCATTGGTGCTGTCTTAAATAATAAGAAACGCCCTTTAAAGGAACGTTTTCGAGCTTTATTTACTCTGAAAAATCTTGGTGGAGCTAAAGCGATTGAAGAAATTAGTCGTGGGTTTTCTGATGACTCAGCTTTGTTAAAACATGAATTAGCCTATTGTCTGGGACAGATGCAGGATAAAAAAGCCATAGACATACTAACAAAAGTTCTCGCCGATACGACGCAGGAACCTATGGTTAGGCATGAAGCCGGTGAAGCGCTTGGCGCTATTGGCGCCCCAGAGGTCATCCCAATTTTAGAGCAATACAAAGAAGACCCAGTAGTGGAAGTGGCGGAGACATGTTCCATTGCATTAGATCGTGTCCGTTGGCTACAGAGTGGTCAAACAGTAGATGACAACAATCCCTACGCATCAGTAGATCCATCGCCTCCAATTAGCGGGAATAAAAACGTTGAAGATTTAAAATCTATCTACTTAGATCCAAATCAAAGCTTATTTGACCGATACCGTGCTATGTTCAGTTTACGAAATTTGGGTGCCACGGAGAGTGTTCTGGCTATCGCAGAAGGTTTAAAGGATAGCTCAGCACTATTTCGTCATGAGGTAGCTTTTGTATTGGGCCAAATACAAGAACCATGCAGTATTTCTTATTTGAAAGACAACTTGGAAGATCAAAATGAAAATGAAATGGTGCGCCATGAATGCGCAGAGGCACTTGGAGCGATTGCTACGGAGGAATGTGTCAACATATTAAGCCGTTATGCGCTGGATGAAAAAAGAGTTGTAAAGGAGAGCTGTGAAATAGCTTTGGATATGTGCGAGTACGAAAATAGCCCTGAATTTCAATATGCCGATAGTTTGGGTAAATTAAGCACATAATATATATATAGGTCCGTGATAATGAATAAATATATATTCCTTGTAATTTTATTTTATATTTTTAAAACAGTAATAATAATATAATTTGTATATACAAGAAAACTAAAGAACTGCAAAAATAATAGGCGAGATGATTATTTCAATAAAATTTTGCCATCATTATTATTTTTTTATTGCCTAATGACATTAAAAATGCTGTGATTTATTTTATTACAAACATTTAAAAAAAAACTTTTTGGTAATAATAGAAGATGCAAAGTTGAACTTTCATCTAACGACAATTTCCTCTCCAAAGCTAAAGCTAGCAAAATTTTACATAAGTCATGTAAAATAATAATAATCTAGTTTTTCCGATAATACTTTTTTTCGTAAATAAATAAAATTTGTTTAATTTTTGTATTAAATTTTATACTACGAATTTTTGTAATTGAATTTATTGTACTCCCTTTTTTAATCGAATGGAAAGTCAAATGCGTTGCAACACTGGTTAACACCGGCTTTTATTTGTCGAATTTCCAATATGCCTTCTGCGCAACAACACGAAAATTTGTCTTCCCGCTCTTTCAACCGGTCGTTTTCGCAAATCAATTTGCTAGGTAAAAAAGCTGTCATGATTGGTACGATTTTGGCATTCTTCTCTTTGTTCTCGTACGCAATGGCAGCAAATAAGGAGCGCACTTTCATCATGGTGAAACCCGATGGAGTCCAACGTGGACTCGTCGGCAAGATCATCGAGCGCTTTGAGCAGAAGGGCTTCAAATTGGTGGCCATGAAATTCACATGGGTGAGTACATAGGTCAGTGAAAATGGTCTAATCAAATTTACTGCATCTAGGGTTGATTGGAATTTCGGACTTTCCAGTGAATTTTTTCCCTAGGGATAAAAGTGTGGTTAGGTATATTCAGTGGATTTTGCCACATGTGTACTTTTTTATTTTAAAGAGAAAAATGATGAAAACAATATGAAAGGTCAGTGTTATGATATGTTATTTAATTTTTATTTACAGGCATCAAAGGACCTTTTGGAGAAGCACTATGCTGATTTGTCTGCTCGTCCCTTCTTCCCCGGTTTGGTCAACTACATGAGCTCCGGCCCAGTGGTTCCCATGGTTTGGGAGGGTTTGAATGTGGTGAAGACTGGTCGCCAAATGTTGGGTGCTACCAACCCAGCTGACTCCTTGCCTGGTACCATCCGTGGTGATTTCTGTATCCAAGTTGGTCGTAATATTATCCACGGCTCGGACGCTGTAGAATCTGCAAATAAGGAAATCGCTCTTTGGTTCAATGAGAAGGAGCTGGTTTCATGGCAGCCAGCCGCTGAAGGTTGGGTATATGAATAAATTCTAACTCAATGGCCAGCATGAGCTCTCGCTCATACGTTAAATGTTAAGAAAAAAAGTACTCTGTTGCAACTGAATTCCAATAAAAGTGATTTACATAAATAAACATTTTATTTGCAAGTGGTTACAATATATTCGAACTCGTTTGTTCATAAAAAAAAACATAAACACAACGTCACTAATTCAACCACTAGGTATAGAACTAGGAACGGTCACATGGCTCGGTATAGCTGCCATTGTGAACTGGCATTTTCACTGGGAAGGATCCAACCAATAGGTATGGAAGAACCATGTTTACTACGCGTCAAATAGCTATCCCAAATGCGTCGTATTCGTAGGAAGTCGCTCATTTTTTGCTCACCGTCATAGCAGGAATGTTCGACCGACCCAAAAATTGTGTCATTCCATTGATCCTCTACGTGTCCTTGTGTACATTCTACCTTATTTTCCTCTAATACTTTGTTCCAAGAGATTCGCAAATCACGTAGTTGTTCATAAAATTCTTTTGTATTATCTAAGTTCTGTCCACGTGAAAAATGTAACATTTTTAACAATTCAAAGGTTCGGAGAAAACGTTGAGCATCATGTTGTTTCAGTAAACGAATATGTGGATATTTTTTTAAGGAAGATATGTCTTCAACATAAGACGGGTTCGAAGGATAATCATTGCTTTGTATCATCTTTGAGATTCTTTCTGACTTCAGATCTGGGAATGTAAATCTATTTCTAGCTTCAGCTTTCATTTGTTTTAGTTTATATTTTTTTCGTTGACGTTTTAGTTTTTTTTTCTTTAACACTTTAGTTAATCGTTCTAATGGCGCAGTTTCCACTTTCTGAATTAACTCTTTTGTTTTTTTCTCCAGTATATTCACATGTACTCCACAATCTCCATTGCCGTCGGATTTAACCCTTTCTAATTCCTTGATATTTGTAAGTATGGTTTCTATACTGTTTTTTAGAAGCGAGATACTTAAAATTTTATCATTAGTTTTAAACATTACTATTAATTATTCAAGCCGCTTGAGAATCAGTTTTTAATGCGATAAAAAAAAGTGTTTTCTATTAAGAGTTAATGAATTGTGCTTGTGCACTTATACAATTAAAATTATTTTTTTGATATGGAATTGGTTAATCTTTTTTCGCAAGCACTTCCTTGGCATCGTTTACAACCTGTATTGCAGTTTCGTACTCTTTTGTTTCTATGAGTTCTTCTTCCTCTGACAAGAATTTTTCAAGTGTGTCTAACTCTTTTCTTAATCTGAAAATATTAGTAAACATCTGTTCAAGAAAACGTTGTCAGCCAGACCATCTGTTTAGTAATGCTCACCTGCGTAATGTGTCTGGAAGCATCATCAAACACTCAGCTATTACTTCTTCTTGTTTTTTTAGAACGTGCTCATCTGCACCTTCACTCTTGAATCTTTCCAAACGATTCTGCTCTGTAACCACTTCCTTTTCACAAACTGTTTTCTCCTTTGTCAATCGCTTCACAACTCCCGTTTTGATTGTCAATTGTCGTAAACGTGGATCCGCCATGAAGTCTGATAACTTGTATTCTGGTATATTTAGTAAGTTCAGACTCTTTTTGGATAAAGTCAGCCTTTAATAAAAGTTATTCCCTGGCGAAACGTACAAAGCTTGTTCTATGCGTTTTTTTAATCACAAATAGTGAGTCAGAAATTCTGCCGGCATTTTCTGCACTACCTTTTTCATTACATTTTTTGTACGCATACTGTGGAACTTGTTTACAGTGCCTGAACTTAAATATCATTCACGATAGATTACGTAGAAATTGATTATTGCTCACGTATACAAAAGCAATTGTTTTGTTTTTTTGGTTCATTTATTCTAGGTATTAAATAAAGCGATCTCGTTAAATCAAATGTATAAAATAGGATTGGCATAATGAATACAATGTTTAATTATCGCATTCAGTTTAAATAGTTTAAATCCAACTTTTTAATTTATCAGCGATTTTTGCCTGTTTAGAGGTGAACAATACCTAAGTTATCGATGTAGATCTCCGAAAACAGTGACTTCGTTGCAATCCAACCGTTATTTGGAGGAAAGTAAAGAGCTAAAGTTATTAGGGCTGTGACTTTTTCAATGCAGAACCTATGATTGGTATTAAATATAAATAAGTGAGAAAATTATTTAATATATATATATGTAGCGTGGTTACTGATGAATGTGTGTAGGTCCCCGCGTCTACGTGTATTGAGCACTAGCCAACGGTGACCTAAGGTTGGCATTATGTTGGAAATTTGGTTGATTTCCGCTTTTCTTAGAGCTAAGTGAAGCTGAAGTGAACAGCAACATATGTTATCAATTTACGAAATCGAGGATCGCCAGTAAAAGGGGCGTTTCAGAGAAATTTTATTGATTACTTAGTTTTATAGAAATTGAAAAATTAAAATTCTAACGTAAAACTTATATGTCACTAGGTTATGCTAGCTATCGCAAAGTCTATCTAGCTTCTGCAATTCCCAAAAAAGTAGTGAAATAAAAAACTTCTTCAACTTTTATTAAAACAAGAAAAAACGTTAACTTTTTCTGCACCGAAGCTATAATATAGCATAAAAGCAAAAGATCTTTATTTTGATTTTCATCGTAAAGATACGCTTTCAAATAAAAAAGTTTTCTATGCAAGAAATTCGAGTTTGATTGATTAGTTTGTAGGCAGGTATATCGACCGTTCGGAGCAGCTTCTCGAGAAGAAAAGAACTAGTGAGAAATTTCGGATCGATGTTTCAAAAACAGAGGAACTAGTTCGCATACGTATGTGTGTACAGGGTTTTCCAATAAGAGTGATATGATAAAAAAAAACATATACTAATTGTTAAGGAATTTGAAATGTTTTTTATTTAATGTGAAGTTCCATCGATATAATTAAGTTCCGAATATAACATCATTCAGATAGCCTCCCCGACTTCTTTTGCAGGAAAAAATTCGTTTAACCCAATTTTCAAATACTTTTTCAACTAAATAAAATCGTATGTCATGAATAGCACGTTCAATATTGACTTCTACAGCTTGAAGAGAGTCTGGTTTATTGCTAAAAGACCAATGACTTCGAATACCCCCACAAGAAGTAGTCTAATGGTGTTGAATCAGAACTTCTTGGAGGCCATTCAATGTCACAATTTCTTAAAATTATCGAATCTCCAAACTTTTCTCGCAATAATTTGGTTGTTGCTCGTGCTGTGTGGCACGTAGCCTCGTCTTCGAGGAACGCCTGAATGTTGTTAAGATCAACTTCTGCCAATTGCGGCCATAAAAAGTTGGTTATCATCGATTTATATCGCTCGTATACCGCAGTTATGGTGTCACCAGCTTCATTTCGAAAGAAGTACGGACCGATGATCCCACAAGACCAAAAACCACACCAAACTGTCAATTTAGGTGAATATGATGGTTATTTATGAATAATTTGCGGATAAATTTTACACCAGAATCGACAGATTTGTTTACTTACCACCACTCAGATGAAAGTGAGCCTAATTGGACATGATTTTCTTCAAACAATTGCAATTGGAGAATGATTATTTTGATAATAAAATTGAATGAGGGTAAACGTTGTTTTTGCGTATATCTTTCCATGATGAAATTGTAAACATTGCTGAATATAATGAAAAAATACTACAGATTATGACGTACTAAAAATGGCCGAAAGGATACTTAGAAGTCATATCATCCCCTTTGGAAAGCCCTATATATACAGACGGACAGAGCTAAATCGACTCAGTTCGTCACGCTGATCATTTGTATATGTATATAACTTATAGGGTTTCCGACGTTTTTTACTGGGTGTTACCAATTTCGTGGCAAATTTAATATACCCTGCCCTGCTATTTTGTACTTAAGACAACTTTTAGCATCACTTACCTATCTTAAAATATTTTTGCCGTTACAAGCGGATCACGTATTTTTGTTTTTGTTGGTTAAGCCTTCTTTATTTCTCAATTCGAATTTTAAAATTGTTGATTTCAATCATACCATTGAAATGTTTCATCTTTATTTAAGCAACTCCAGCTTTTACATTTATTTATATTTATTTTCATATATGTATGTATGTATATTTTTGGGATTTTCGTTTATTTAATTTTAATTAGTACACATTCACTGTCTATTCATGCTTTGCATTGATGCATTCAAGTGATTAGTTGTATTGTATGTCTGTATGTTTGTATGAGTGTGTGTTGCGGTGTGTTTGAGTATGTCTTTCTGCATTTTATGCTTTCTTCGCATGTTTTGATTACATATGTATGTATATGGATGACCTTGACAACAAGTTTGCGGAATAACAGAACTTGACGACAGGCGCAACAAAACTATTTGGCCTTTAATTTTCGAGAGTCGCATGCGAGTTTCGGGGTTTTTGTGTCTTTGCACACAGTTTGATTAATCCAGATGTGCAGATTGCAAAGTGTAAATGGCGTTTAAATTGACACCATTGCAATTGTATGATGTCAAAGTAGGTGGTGTGTGTTGCATAAAATGGTTAATTTGTAAAAGTTTATGTTGTTGTTATTGGAGTGCGTGTGTTTTTTGTTTATGTTGGATAGGGTGATTAAGAGTATTACCAACTTTGGTTGGGTTTCACAATACCATATATAAAAAACTTAATAATAATTATAAGAATTAATAACAAAATGAATTCAATTCGATTGAGTCTCACAGTTTGGTGTTGAAATACAGTTACAATACAATACATACGTATTCATTCATATCTGCAATAGGAAATTCATGAATTCGCATACATTCAAATGTACACTTATGATCACTAATATAATGAGGGAATACGATAAGGGATAAGCTGATATTGTTTGCTGCATAAATCGTGATGAGCGTACATCATCAATGAAACTTATTAGTTGGAAATTCTAATTATGAAATGTATGACCACTTGCTAAGTGCGTTAATGTCGATATTGTATGGGATATTTGTTGACATTGGGTTAGTTTTTAACAAGCCGTTATATACGGATTTCCTACGAAACGATTTGCGATGACGGTATAGATTAAAAAAGTTATAAATATAGTATACAATTGAAAATAATAACATAATTAGTTTGGTATTGATTGCTAAATGAGCTGCTTCACGTATGGCTATGAACTGTGTGAAAGAAATTGACGTAATTGAAGTGGTGATTGGACATGGAATAGCACGTGAATGAGTTATTGAAAATTGTGGGTTTTTTAGGTTACCAGTGTCTTTTATTTCGTTTATTGTGTTATTGGCTACTTGCGTAGGGAATGATGCCTTCTCAAATGTGCCAGCGCCAACTGGTGTGTGAGGGAAGGCCAATTTGTCGTTAATCATTTCTGGTGACCTGATTTTTGCTCTGTAGGTGACGGCTGTAGTTTGGTTAAAGTGGGAAATTGATTTGGTATTTATGTTTATGCTCTCGGTGTTGTTATTGTTGTAGTAATTGTAGCATGAAGCATGCTCATAATAATTGATGTAGTCATACCAAAATGGGTGTTCAATGGTGTGCTTTGTGTTAATGTTTGTTTTGTTGTTGATGTTGTTGCTCACATTGAATGTCATAGCATTACTATCATAATAATTGCTTATCATATTCATATTCATATCATTGATAATAGTAAATTGTAGTATTCTTTTAAATTTATGCTTATTAAATGTTTTCTTTTGAGATTTATGTAGTATTTTTGCTGTTGTTACTTTTGAAGTTATTGCTGTTGTCGTTGGTAACCACCACTTCGACATAGCAGTCGACAGCGGTAATAAAAATGACAACTCCAACGACTCTGATGACAACGACATTGTTGATGACGATGACGATAATACCAATTGTATTTGTATTTGCTTTAATTGCTGCATAATTATTAGTTTTTGTGATTTAATGTTCTGCTGGCACTCTAGTTATTTCTTCTTCTGAGCCTTCTCGGCGGCTTTTGTGACTTTACCCGAGGTTGTCTCTTTAAAGGTGACCGACTTGATGACCCCCACTGCGACCGTTTGCCTCATATCGCGTACAGCGAAACGCCCAAGCGGCGGAAACTCTTGGAAACTTTCAACGCATAACGGCTTAGTTGGCACAAGCATAATAATGGCCGCATCACCGGATTTGATAGCCTTGGGATCAGTTTCGGTCGTCTTGCCAGTACGACGATCGCATTTCTCTTTGATTTCAGCGAATTTACAAGCAATATGAGCGGTGTGACAATCCAAAACCGGAGTATAACCATTGGCAATTTGGCCAGGATGATTAAGGACAATCACCTGTAAAATATATAAAAAAAATGAATATTTGTTAAATGAGTACGCGGCGTAAACGGAGTTTGAAATTAATTCACCTGAGCTGTGAAGTCAGCGGCGCCTTTGGGTGGGCAATTTTTAGAATCACCAGCTACGTAGCCACGACGCAACTCCTTAACGGAAACGTTCTTCACATTGAAGCCCACATTGTCACCGGGCAAAGCTTCAGAGAGTGCTTCGTGATGCATCTCCACAGACTTTACTTCAGTTACCAAATTGACCGGTGCGAAGTTCACCACCATACCTGCGAAAAATTTGGAAAATTGCATCATGCAGTTTAGTTACTTGTTAGAAATCAAAAATCAAATAGCTATTTAATAAAATACAACAATAAGTACACTAATTAATCGCTGAGTACATACACACGCAAGCGTACCAGTTAGCAAGTGAGAGCATATGCGGTTGCTTCGGCGTTGCCCGGATACGAAATCTGCCTACTTCCAGCAAGTATCGGACCAGCACAAAAATATGCAACGAAATGTACCGAGTTATGCAACAAAAGAAAGTACAGAATACTGCGCTGCTTGTATATAGGTATGTTTGTAAGAAACGAGCACCAGCGACCCACTTTTGCAACTTCGGTTGCGCTCTCGACAGTTGCAGCAACAGCTTTCATACTCAATTTTGCACCCACACAACTCTGTCTACACATACGTACACATACTCGTATGTTGTTTGTATAAATATATGGCAGTCATATCCGGTGCCTGCGCTTGCCTGCAGATTCACACATACGCACACACACACACACATACACCCTATCACTCAGCCAATATGACTCAACTACGCTGTTCTCATTTACCTGGTTTCAGTATACCAGTTTCCACACGTCCCACTGGTACCGTGCCGATACCGCCAATCTTATAGACGTCTTGCAATGGCAAACGCAATGGCTTGTCAGTGGGCCGCTGCGGTGGCATTATTGCGTCCAGCGCATCAATCAAACACTTGCCCTCCACTTTACCCTCCTTGCGTTCCACAGTCCAGCCCTTGAACCAAGGCATCTTCTCAGATGGTTCAAGCATATTGTCGCCATGCCAACCGGAAATCGGTACGAAAGCCACCGATGCTGGGTTATAGCCGATCTTTTTGATGTACGATGAAACCTCTTTCTTGATTTCTTCATAGCGTGCTTCGCTGTACGGCGGCTCGGTGGAATCCATCTTATTCACACCAACAATCAATTGCTTAACACCCAATGTGAATGCCAATAGTGCATGTTCACGCGTCTGACCATTCTTTGAGATGCCGGCTTCGAATTCGCCTGTACCGGCGGCCACTATCAATACCGCACAATCGGCTTGCGATGTGCCGGTAATCATGTTCTTGATGAAATCACGATGTCCAGGCGCATCAATGATGGTCACATAGTATTTTTGCGTCTCAAATTTCCACAAAGCAATATCAATGGTTATGCCACGCTCACGCTCGGCTTTCAGTTTATCTAAAACCCAGGCATATTTAAATGAGCCCTTACCCATTTCCTGAGCTTCCTTCTCGAATTTCTCAATCGTACGCTTATCAATGCCGCCACACTTGTAAATCAAATGTCCGGTGGTGGTGGACTTACCCGAGTCAACGTGACCAATCACGACAATATTAATATGAGTCTTCTCCTTACCCATATTGTAAGTTTAGGCAACAAACACGCTGATACTCTAAATGCCGGCGAAATATCGTGCTGTTAAGCTGTGATTTGACCGATTACACTGTGAACGCTACTACGCTTCAGGCGGAAAAAATGTGCGAATAAAAAGTGAATTATAAATCGTAAGTAAGTGACGGCATACGCTATGGTATGAGTATGAAGTATGCGAGTACACTTGTCGTTGAATCGACAAGTTGAAATGAAAGTGTCATTGACGAGTGTGGGAGTGGGAGTTTGTTGGTGAAATTGGGAGTTGAAAATTGAGTGCACCGGATAGTGGGTGGACGGGATGTACATAGGTGTGAACATGAATATGCGTGTAAAGTATATGATAAGCATGCAGGTATATATGTATATATAATACACATATAAGATAGATATACATATATGTATATATATATGTATATATTATTCATGAAATTTGTATGCAGACTTACTTGTTTGATGCCGGCTTTGAAGGAAGCAAATCAAATTTCCTTTGTCCGCACAGTAGTCGAAAGTCAAAGATTAAAGAAAACTCTGTAAAAAAGTGGAAATTTTTAGTGTTTTGCAAAAACGTGAACACGCAACGCATTGAGCTGAATTGAGTTGGGGCAGGTTGGGTTGAGCGTACGGGCTGGGGGTTGGTATAGGTTGAAAATTCGTGTGTATATGTATATTTTAATGATTACGCATTTTTTAATATTCACATTTTGCACACTAGTAAATCAACACTCGTCTAACTGTACAGCTTTAAATGTTATTTTTTGCTGATATACATATTACACAATTTCCAAATGAAAATTTGCTTCGACACACATATATAAACACGTTAAATTAATTTAAAAGAAATTTCTGCCTTTTTTTTTGCAACAAATTGGGAATTAATGTGACATTTTTTACTAGAAATCGGCCGTACTTGCTTTTGACGTAGTGCAATTTTCGCTGCCTGCACGTCTATGCACCGCTACAACACAATCGAATGTGCAAAAGTTTCGTCTTTTCTCTATATGAAAAATCAATAACCATCTCTGGCGATGGAGTCATATGTCTGTACTCCAACCACCCGGCTGCCAGACGCGACCAACACAAATGTTACTCGGCCCAATTGCACATCCCCAAAAATATGCATGTAGCATGTGGACGTTGGCTGGTTTGAGTGCAGCGAAATATGAAAGAAATGCCAGCAGGAGCGTGAGTTTTTGCCGGTGGTAGAGGTAGTGTTTGTGCGGTTAACGGGAATTCGTGTTGCGGAATCGGCAGCTGGGCTGCAATGGATTCGTTTCTGCATTGGAAAGTACGCTCGCAGTCGTGCCATCCAGTTGTACATAGATATGTGTGTACGTTCGTCGGTTTGTCTGTCTGTCTGTCTTTTTAACCAACATTTTGCAGTCGGGTATGCTTTCGACCGCATGCTCTCAGCTTTTCACTTGCAGCTCGAGCTGTGCAGTGGATTAGGTTGTTGGGGCATTACGAATCAGATGACTAGTTATAAGTATGTAGATACTTATAAGCATATATAATATATATTTTTTGCATTTTTCTTGCTTGTTTAAATATTTTTCTTTCCGTGGATTTGTTTCAAAAATCAATTCAAGTGCTAAGTGGATATAATATTTGTATATATGTAATCGTATGTAGATCAGTAAGTATGTTTTAAATTTGAAACCCAAGCAGAAAAAGTTGGTTGATGCATAACTGTATACTTCTGACATATATGCCTCTGCTAATATGCTTGACCGCGCTTCTCCTTGCATTTATGTTGTGCTCCAGATATTATCCGGTAAATAAGCGACCTAGAATTTTAAGCAGATATAAAGGACTCATGTATTTTATGAGAAGCTTTCCTGTATCAGAATATGTATGGAAGTTTTTCATTGCATGTCGAATACTGACTTTGTATAGATCTAACTTCCGATCCATCGTACCAAAGTCGTATAAAAAAGGATTAAAGAGTATTTGGATATATTCTTATATATATATTCCTTTGTTTTGGATCAAATTTCCGCGTATTGGAGAGCTCAATGAATAATGCTGTGGCGTGGCCCACTAGAGGCATTCCTTTATTAAAAACTTCTTAAGATTTCATTTAAGTTTCTGTGTCCATTTAAATTTATTGTGAGGTCGTTTATTTGGTTTTGATTAGATGTTATATTGGAATGAATGAGAAACATCACCGGCTAATAAAATAGTCCTTTAATTCAGATTTAAATTTAGTCGGAAGTGCTTGAAATAATATTTTGTAATTCTACAATAATAAATAATCATGTTATCAATTTGAAAATCGGTTATACACTATACATATTTACTTATATATATACAATATATATTATATATAGAATGAAGAGGGATGCACACATAGGTAGTCCATATTTGGCAGAACAGAGATATTTCACTCCCAGAATTCTTGTGGACCACATGGGCCACCAAGTTGAAACTTTATATACGTCTCACCCGCTATAACACTTTATATGTCTGTATATCAACATATGTACATATGTTTGCTTTACATTTGAATCTCGCCAACCAAGGTGTAAATTTCTTGAAGCTTACAAGTATTTACATAATACATTTTTTAGATAGAATAGCTAACGATGTAGTGTGAAAAATATTCCAATAATCACTAATGAAAGTTGTAGTTGTAATGACAACTGCCATCACTGCATTAGCTAGTGTCTTTAACGTGCACAGCAATTGTGGCTTGGTAGTTGAGAAAAATACCTAGTATATTGTATGTAAGTAAGTAAGTTGAGAAAATAAGGCGGAAAATGTAAGGATAATTACTTGATGCTTTTATCGTTTGAAATGTATGTATATATGTATATGCATATTTAAAAAATAAACAACGTCAAACACCGTAGAATTTTCTCGCATGGCCTGTATCCATGTGAAGACTGCTTTACTCTCAAAATTCTCATATACTCGTATATGCACGAGTATTGCTTCTTTGTTGACTTTTTTTTCAATATTTATACCATATGTAGATATGTTTCACTGTGGTGACATTTTCACTATTTAGTGCAAATTACTGGGCGTCAGTCCCTCCTGAGGGCCTCATTGCAATGAATAGCGCAAATGTTCAAGAATTGTGGGAATAGTTGCATGCAATGAGGATGTTTCTTATTTCATATACATATGTATAGAATTAATTATAATCTTATCTGTAGGTGTTTGCATATGTGTATGCGAATAATGATATATGTTTAGGTTGCACCACCAACCGACCGGTGAAAAAAAATTTTGAATATTTTCCCACTGAAAGATAGAAACTACAAATTTTTTTAACTAATCCTCTTAAAGGAACATATTACTAGAATATTCACGAGCTTGCGATATTACGATTTGACAGATGTGACTAAAAACGCCAAACGGTCGCCTTTTCATTAAAAACTTAATTAAACATTACTCGCATCAGCGAGATATTCAATGAATTTCGTAATTATATATGTACATATATTTCTGGATGTGTACTATATACATGGGTTTGTATATACATAAACACGTACGTATATACATATTTATATGAGTCATAATAAATGCAGTTAAAACATTTCGAGTATGGTTGTCTTTTTGTTACTATTTTAGTAGATCTATTAGTGTTTTTGCAATTTTGAAAAATTCTGTTTCTGTCGAGATAAATTCTGGTCTGTTTATACTAACAGAAACAAATTTTATATGTTTCGTTTTTTGGTCTATTTCAGTTTAGTTTTTTATATTAAAAAAATTGCTTTTATAGAGTTTCGCAATCTGCTTTTAAGTACACCATAACTAGATTTAAAAAGCCAAATTTAGACAAAATTCAAAAAGCCTAATAGGTATTCTGATACACATAATTGCACTTGATTATAATGTTATAATAGAAAATATTTTGCAACAAAACCGTGACACTGTGGTATTATACAAATTTTATTTCCGTACCCACAACAGTTGGTTTTACATACACACATTTTAATTCGACGAAAGTCTGCAAATTCAATAGCATTTTCCAGAAATATTTTGGGTAAAGTGTTATGTCTACAACGTGTCAACGAAAACCACACTTTTTGCTTTTCAAAAAGTACGTTTTTGAAATTATACAATTTTTAAAAAAGCTGACTCATGCATGCATTCTACAATATATTGAATGCCACAAATTCACATAAATGCATATTTATGTTTACAGTTAGATATGCACTTATGTACAAATATTTATGCACTGAAGTTTTGGTTATAATTTATGCAATTGACTAACGCAATATCGGTTTAATTTAAGTAGATAACCAGAAATATATAATGAAGTCAAAGATTACTCTCATTTTTACATAGATATGTATATTTAAAAATAAGTTGTTTCAAATTTGGATATTTTTTGAATTTATACTTCATGATTTAGGTCAATTAAACAATTTTTACGGAAACTGTGGTGCTGCAGCTGGTTGTAATTAGTTAACCACGTAATATGATTTTTATGTACTTACATCTAAAGTGAGCTGCATAATGTATAAAATTAAAGTGGAATTCCGCGAATGTCCTCGTTACGAGGCAAATTTCATTTCAAATTTCATCGGTACCGGCCGGCTTTGGGATAACCATTTTTTAACTTGGAATAACGCTTTACTTATGGCAGCGTGATACACATTTTTTACAGACGATTTTTCAAATGCAGATTTTCACAAGCAATTTGAATTGAGTACAGAAAATAATATTATTTTCAACTTACCCAATATTTGTTAGTTATTTTTTAACACAATTTATGGAATGATGTTTTGGGTTTGGATTGTAATTTTCAGATTTTCACAAAACGTTAAAATTTTCCTGCCACTTACCTCGAGCACAAAAGACGGAAAGGCCGATTTTCACAACGGCCCTGATGCACATGCGCTGGAATAGTGCCACCACTACCATTGCCAATCTCTTTACCACCATCATCACAGGCGGCGGCACATTTGGCTAACCAAATCACAGTTTGCGATTGTATGTGGCGTATATTCCCTTACTACAGACAATGCTGGGCCCAACGTCATCCTCATTCGAGTGGGGCACGTTAGATAAATGCATGTGTAGACATGACATATGCAGCATGCAACGAGTGAGTGCACTAGCTAGTGCATAGTGCGCCCTTTCACTAGTGTAAGCAGGAACAAGGTCCGTTTCCCCTCTTGTATTAGATTATCGACATACATGTCTCATATCTACTATTTGAATGTGTTGCCTAGAAGAGACTGCAAAATAATTTGTAGGGTTTGTGGCGGGTAGTGCGCAGCGGAGAAAGAAATATTCGCAACTGCTGCTAAAAATATGCAGATTTCATCAAGTACCTACCAAAAAGAGATGCTAATTTCACAGTACACTCTCATTTCATTGTCACCTAGCGTAAGAGGGACAGATTTTGAAAAAGTAACATTATAGCAAAATACATATACTACATATGTACCTAAAACTATAATCTAAAAGCTAGTTATAACAAAACTTTGAGTTATTATAAAATTTATTTAAAACTAACGCTTATTAGCCTAAACAATAACTGTATTTTACAATTACTTCCATTCACTGTCTGAATCATATTCTTCCCACGCTGGCTTTACGCTTGGCTTTAAATTCCTTTGTTTCAAGTATTCATCAAACTGTTCGGGTATTGACATAAATTTTTTTATTTTCATGCGAAACTGTTTCCATGTCCATTGCAAGTAATTTCGTCTATCTGTCACCATATCTTTGTAGTTGAATTTATACTTGTCCAGAAAGTAACTCAAATGGTCTATAGAGTTTTTAGGCAGCCTAAAATATTCGAAGTCATAAGTGTATATCAGCATTACATGTGTTCAAATTTATATTAAATTACCTTAGCAGCCTTTCTCTAGGCGCATTTGCGTCAGCTTCTAATTGTTCTATAACATAGCCTCTTGGCCGATCTGTAATTCTTTCGTTCAGTTCTTCATCATCTATTTCTTCTTCAATAAAGCCGTTTACTACTTTCACGGTTTTTAGTCGGTGTTGTTTGAAATTTGGAATCGGTACCGCTTTATTAGGATCAGAAGAAAGACCCATTTCGTGGAAGTTTTTATTACGCTTTGTTTCAATCCAAAGTTTCTTCATTTCAGGGCTGTAACAATATAATTACCTAATTACATGGTACATAGGCAAATGACATATTAATCATCTAAGGATTATGACAATACCTACTCTTTTATTTTGCCGGTGGATTCACGAGTCTTTCTCATAGTTTTTCTATTAACATTGTAGCGATAGCGCTTACGTTGATGATTTTTCCGAATTTTCATTTTGTCCTCTTATTAGAATGATTACTTTTAATAATATAAAAATTAAAGCAATGAAATCAACTACACGTGTTTATTCCTATAAATTTTTATTTTTGACATTTAACCGAAGTAAACAAAAACAAAGGATTAATCACAGTAGTTTGACATATTATGCTATTGTGAATGTAACAGCAAATATTCCAGTGCTGTCTATCAAATGAATCACATTACTCGATTTTATACACTGGCTAGACCAAATTTTGTACAATTACTATAAAAAAAAGGCTTACAACAACTATTTTTAGTGTTAATGGCGTTGCTTCTACTAAAGTTTATGACATCGGAAGGTAACAATTTTTTCATATCTTGAGGGAAAAATATAGCCAAGGTTGCACAAAAGTTGTAATATGTATTCTACAGTAATTGTGAACTGTTGTCAGTATCACCGGCTTTGTAAAACAGCTGTACACGCTCAAAACTACAAACAATTGTATTTTCTTAATATTTTCCAAACTCGTGAAATAATAGAAAACATGCGTGATATTGAAATTTTAGATCCCAGAAACTTGGTGAAAAACCGCGAGATACTTTACAGACTTATAATAAGGTTAGTAAATAAAGTTTTACACAATTTAGGCATTCACGTTTTTATTTTTGAATCAGTCAATTGATGTACGATGGGCTGGAGAAATTTGCAATGGAACTTTCCATGTTAGTAAAAGCAGATGAATGCGCACCCAGTGAACGCTTATTACACGTTATGATTGCCGGCATGCAGGCTACTACCGAAAAGCCAATTGCACCTAAAGATGACGTTCTACCTGGAATCGATTTAGAATTTGAGCCTGAGGCGTCTGCCCTTGCCCCT